AGTTTTGTGCTAATTTTGTTAAAACTAAAGATTACTTTATATATATATATATAGTCAAGCATTCATCACGGCTCATGTAAACCATGGTTTTTAATCACTTGAGGAAACACATTTGGAGTTTAATTTAATTACCTGCAAAGCTAGTTTGTCTAAAAGATTACATTTACAAGATGTAATGGAGTGTAACCAACATGAGACATTACAAATACAAATCATTCATTTGTATGAATCAAGCATTTGTATCTATTAGATGCTGCATATTTACTTATTTCACCTGTGCAGCATGAAATCATTCCACGATCTACAAATATTTAGTGATGGTTCTTTATCTTTATCTAATTCTGTGTAGATGGACGGTCTGATGATTTAGCCTGCAAATCTGTAAAGAGAACATGGAAGATCTCCTGTGGTATGATTAAAAAAATTGTTGTTATACCTGAAAGACATCTGCTACTAAGAGGTCGGCTATCGAACCGAGCCTTAAGGACCCAAAAATGTGGAGGTTCGGGCTGATTTTTCATCTGCAACATCAGGGTAGAATTGGAATCAGGTAGTAGATACATGTTTACTTGAAGCAATATACGTGTCTCTCTTTGTTACATTCTCTGTCTCTTTCTAGTGAAATTATTGTCGCTATGTGTGTCTAATCTATTGTCTAATCTTTTCTCTTGCTTGTGAAGGTCATCTGAAGTGTGTTAAGCATTTCTACAGTAGCTGCAGTAGCGAGAGGAACTTTAGCACAGTGAGGATACCATTTGATCAGAGCAGGGTGGATGCTGTTCTCTGCCAGGTCAGATCAGCAGATCCGCAAAAAACATTGGTAAAAAAACAGTGTTATGTACAATGCAAGTTTATCTCAGCATGACTTTTTCTGTTGATCATCTCAAGTGCTTAGTAATATAAAAAAGCACTTCAATTGAAGCTCAGGCTTTAGGTTTTTCTGAGACACAGGTTATGCCATTTGACCAAGTGAGAAAGGTAAAATTGAAATGTATGCTGTGTTTTATTAAGGTTATCGTAGCTCTTGTGAATGGTAACTTCACAGGAGAAGGAAAATATTTAAAAAATAAAAGATGATGATGAGTTTTACATTTACATTACGTCTTATTGTGTGAGTTTATTGGCTGGTTGCAAAGCAGAAATCCGATTATTGCCTGGCTCATGTAGACCTGGCGATTTCCCATTAACTGATTACCCAAATGCATATAAACACATTGAGCTGCGTTTCTACATTTCTGCGGATATCAGATTATTAAGTGCATGTAAATGCACTCAGTGTTTCATTTGATCCAGCCAATTACTGTTAAAGGTCACAAGCACACTTCTGATTTACAATACATGCTTAATCGTTACCATTTATTAGATAATAATACTGCACTTCCCACAGTTAGAACTGGTAGCTACCATTAATACTGAACACACACCTTCTGTGGCCAAAAATGCTGTGAGTGAAAAATAAAAGAATTGATATTAAATCTTTGTTGATCAAAGAACATTGCAAGATCACTGAAGTGCTCCATGGTCATTCATCTTCATGCTAAACTTTGCTCTTCATAGTCTGAGCTCATTGTGGTTGTTTCTAGGAAACTGGGGCAGATATTTTTGGAACTATTATGTGGTGCGTTTAGGTGGGTAGAGTTGGGAACTATGTTAGTATTACTGATTGTCCCTTGAGCTATGACATACTGGCATATATTTTGTAGAAAAATGTTACAGTATGCCCTTCCCCTTAGATGAATAGCCCTTTTGCCACAGTTAGTCCATGATTTCTCTCTCTTTTGACTGTATATAAGGCATATATACTGGAAGCACCGGTCTATGAATGAGGAAGCAGTATAAAGTGGTTTACAGATCACACCCTTCCTCATTCAGATGGGAAAGTATAAACACAGAATTGTGAAGTTGCAGAAAAGAATGAAATTTTGATTTTAAAAATTGCTGTCGAAACCAGTCATTCATTGTTTGGTCTTCTAAATTCCATTAAACGCTTTTAGTATCAGTAACTTAAAATATTCACTGTGTGAATTGACCGGGCGTTTGCTGACGGATGCAGGGCAAAACCCCACGATGCAGTAAGGACAGATGGAGACACAGAGGAAGGTACACAGAAATAGCCCTCTGCGTCAGAGAGAGAGATAGAGAGAGAGAGTGTGTGTGTGTGTGTTTAGTTGATAGAGGGAGTGTCATAAAAGCTGGTTGGACTCCAGAATGAAGGGCAAAGAAAATATGCCCACCTGTCTGGGTACATCACGGGTATCTCAGGCTCATATTTCTGAGTAAAATAGGGAAGAGATCAATCAGACATGATTAAATGTAGTAGAAATGGCGCAGTACTGCCTTTAGTTTTCTCACACCAATGTTGAAACTAGACATGCACCAGTGTGGGAGTTGTGCTATTTTTCAGGTACATATCTACTAATGCTGGTGCATAAATATTTAAAAAATTTAGAAAATAGAAATTGGAACTAAATCTACCTGGATTAGCACTGAAGAGAAATATAACATTTCTTTCTAGAGGGTTACAAATGCCAAAAAATGAATGCAGTTATTTTACGGGGGTGGGCGTTTATTCTGGTTTACCCAGTACACTGGTTGAAATTGTTCTTTGGGATGCCACAAATAAGTGCAGAAAATGTGACATACAAACAGTGCAGGCCCCTTTAGCTGAGTGCCTGGATCACATTTCAAATGAAAATGCAGAAGTCCCTTGATCAAGTTTCAAGTTCAAGTTTCAAGTTTATTTGTCATTTGCACAACATGTCAGGACATTTAAGCATTGAAATGCTTGTGGTGAGGCTCAGCTAATCACTCTACAGAAAGTAAATAAGTAAAAAATAAAAATACAAGAAAAACGAACTGAAATCTATTAAATATACACATAATATACACAAGATATACACAAAATATAGAGACAATATACATTTTAAAGTGACTTAGTGTTATTATTATTTAAAGTGACTTATTGTTAAAGTATTATTGTCCATAGCAGATATATGATATAATAATAATGCTGACAAAGTGACTGAGTGAAATGGTAGTAGAGGAACCTCCCACTTTGTAGGCTGTTGGACCTGAAGTATGCAATCTGAAGTTACATGCACTTTGTTTTCAAGGCAGTGGGCATAGAGGAATGGCCAATTTTTGGGGGTTAGCTTAAGCCTAACATAGAAAGCAGACCGATTGCCTCTTACTGGTACTGAAGTGTGAGTTGAATGTAGTATTTTCAAATTCCAGCATTGTATGATGGTCAGAGGCATGACTGTTTAAGATGCACGTATGAGACAAATGACTTGAGAGCTGAGGTTGGCTGAGGTTGGCTTCTTATTTGAGTTTCCCATTATGCGTTAAATGGTGCAGCAGCCACATTCAGGCACCTGTACATGTCCTAGAATACAATTGCTACTCTGTTGTAAGGAGGAATGGAAATTTCTGACAAAGAAATGAAATTCAGCCTTGTAGAATTTAACATTTAGTACCGTTTTTGGTACTAAACTTGATTGTATTTTGCAAATATAAACAAATTTTGAATTTGATGTCTGCAGTGCACTCAAAAACAGTTAGGACAGAGGCAAAATAAGAGTGAAAAGTTAATATTAGTTAATATTATTAACAGATAAATTAGCAAGTGAGGGTATCATAAAAAGAGTATCCACCATGGTCATAGCTAAGAATTTAGGTTACCATATATTGTACGTATTATTGTGAAAAGAATCAGGGAATCCAGAGAAATCTCAGTCCATGTAGGGCAAGGCCAGAAACCACTGTTGAATGTTGACCTTTGAGTTCTCAGACAGCATTGCATGAGAAACCGCCGTGCGACTAAATATAGTCACATTAGCTCAGGAGTACTTTAGAAAACTGTTCTCACTTGTCACAGTCCTCCGCTGCATCAGGAAGTGCAACTTAAAAACTCTCTTACACAAGTAGAAAGCCATACATCAATTCTGTGTAGATGCGCCACCGAGCTGAAAGACAGCGAAAATCTGTGCTATGGTCTGATAAGAGCACATTTCAGATTTTGGGGAAAAATGGTTGTCGAGTTCTCTGTGCCAAAGACAAAAGGGACCATCCTGACTTTTATCAGTGAAGTGCAAAAGCCAGAATCTGTATGGTATGATGGTGCCTCAGTGCCCACAGCATGTGGTAAACATTCCTCTGTCCTGATGTTTTTTGAATGGTTTTTTGAGCCTCAATGTCTATATCTATTTATATTTATAAAATTCAATTAGCGTGGTCAGTAAAAACATCTTTTCTTTGTACTTTTGTCAGTTAAAGGTTCAAGATAATTAACAAGTCACAGATTCTTGTTTTTATTGCATTTTACAAAATGTCCCTCCTTTTCCAGAAATGGTGTTTGTACATGTTGTCTTAGTAGCCCAGCGTCACAGTCATCGCCTAAGCATTGTGCTCTTTTTGAGAACAATAAATGCTTCATTAAATAGCTGTTTGAAGTATTGGTCAAAACTGTCTGATTTTTAAGCAATTATCTGCTGATATTAATATGATTCTGATATTATCCATCATCCCTAAATAAAATGTGTCTTGGTCAATACCGAACCCATATTTCTAATTAAAAAAATGCCAAGCTTCAAGATGAGCATCTAAAAGTGGGCTATCATGCTCAAACCACTGTAGCACTGCTTTCCCACAGAAAAAAATACACAGCTAATAATTAGACATCAGTTTGACTGTGTGCTGTTTCAGGCTACATTTGTTACACTGTTACATTGTTTGTTGAACTGGGTTGTTCTCAACCAGTTCTGTTTTTCCCCTCCAATATCCAATCCAGCATTTTATTTTGATACCACCCGATATGTATACCTGGTGCTATCTCTAATTTGAAAATAAATCTGGAAAACTCTTCACTCACTTGAGTTGCACACCTGAGGTGAAGTTGCTGTTAATGAAATAAAGCATGTAGTATTGTGTCTGGACCTCAGTGTTTGGTGTCTGAAATCTGATAGCCAACACTCAGCCTGACTCTTTTTGTTTATTTATAGATAAATGAACTCAGTCACATTCAGATCCCTGTTATGCTGATGCCTGATGACTTCAAAGCAAACTCCAAGATAAAAGTGGACAATCACCTCTTCAACAAGTACGACAGCCATTTTAATTTACTTCAAAGTCTAATCTTACTGAGTGATCATTTTTGTCAATCTTGTGTTCACTTCTCTGATCTAGTTTTATTTTTCTCTCTCTTTCTCTCTTTCTTCCACTTCCTGAAGAGAGAACATGCCAAGCCATTTCAAATTTAAGGAGTACTGTCCTCTTGTCTTCCGGAATCTAAGGGAGAGGTTTGCCATTGATGATCAGGAATATCAGGTACCTGATTTAAAGCACCCGCTGTTTTCTCAGTCACATTCTTATTCTATTAAGCGTTCGTCTTAAAGTTTTCATCTCGTAGTTTTGACTAATCACTACTAATGCTTTCTCATCCCATAACTGCATATGAATTGAATGTAATTCTTTGTATTAAGTTGTTATTTTAAACTTGTCTGAATCTCCCCTTTTTGAGTTAATCTACTTTGCCGTTTGCAACTACATAGATATATGGAGAATATATTTTTGCCATCCATCATCATCAACATTACTAATAATATCAAAAACAATTATTCATTTTGTGACCCGAGGCAAAGTTTAGTGCTGAAAGTAGATTGAAGACTAAAGGACATTAATCTGGTTTGCAGCATACGGTAAGCTCAAAACCGTCAGATGTGATTGCAGTATGATCTTTAAGGCTGTGCAGGTGGTACTGAGTGTTTGAGTGAATGCCAGAGAGAGGAACAAATGCGGTTAGCTTGGCCTGTTTCCCAGAATGCCCCAGTACACTTTTCCACTACCAATGGTCAGGCCAAGCTGCTATAGTTGTAGAAACTTTTTTTATAATATAATATGGATTTTTATAATAGTAGAAGGGAATATTGTTGATGATCGCAGAGCATTCTGTGGTGTGCAGAACACCTTCCAAATTGGTAAACACTTGTAAACATGTACAGGTATTCAGTAATTTGGTATACTGCGATATTAAAGGAATAGTTCAGTGAAAAATACAATTTTCTGCTTACCCCAGATGTAGTAGATTGGCTAAACATGTTTGGAGTCTAAATTTTTCTTCTGTAGTTTAGGACTGAAGCAGTGAGGCTGACATTGCTGACAAATACTAGGAACTCAGTAGTCACCCAAAAAGCCTAAATCAAAGAGCTGAACGATTTGGGTAAAATTTCTGATTGCGATTAAAATCAAATTGCGATTTCAGTTTAAAATTGATTAATCTTTCAACCGTACTAAATCATTTCTCTAAAAATGCATTACCAAAACTTCTCTCTACCCACTCAAACCTTCATTATTACCTTCATCTTTACACAGGCATGTAGATGTGGTTTAAGAGTTTAACTTACCCCGAACTATAGAAATTAACAAAGTCTGAAATAGCTGCCTGTAGCGGTGAAATTTTGTTAATTTTTTTATAGTTTACACTAAGAGATACTGTGCTCAAATACAATATGCAAGTCAATGCGACCTGAAGACCTAGATGCAAGATGAGAGAAGTTTTGAGACTACAAAATATTTGGGTGACTGTTAAGTTGTAGTTTTTGTTAACAATGTTAGTTTAAATGCTCCAGTTCTGAAAAAGCAAAATTTGGACTCTAAACATGCTTTCGTTAATCGACTACATCCGGGATAAGCGTAAAGTTGGGCAAATTTGAATTTTCTCCACACTTGTCCTTTAAATACACTTGGTTATTGTGAACACTTTTAAATACGATCACTGGATTTTAGTCATTTAGTAAAAGTTGCACATTTCAGATGATTTTGTAGATACACAGAGTAGCTCTGCTTGCACATCTCCCACCATGCTCTCACATTCTGACTATGTGATAGTCTCTCCTCTGAGTGATGCTTGTAACCCATCACAGTGAACATAGCCACAGCATGACACATAGAGCAGACAGAGACTTTTGTCTCACCCACAAAGGTGAAAAAAAAAAAGTTTCATCCAGTTTGCAGAAGGAGAATAGCTCAATCTCACGAATATATGTATGTTTGCAGTCCCAAACAACGTGTGCTTGAAGAAAAAGGCATGAAAAAGTACTAAACTTGCTTTACTGAAGAACCCGGTTGTGTTTAATGAGCCGCTTGTCAGACTGCTAACAGACTAACAGTAACACAGTAACAGTTCAACTTACGCTTTAAGTTGAAATATCAACTGAAGTATTGAGTGTAAAGCTGAAGCATACAAAATGAAAAAAGTTACCTGAATGTCTGTTATAATCTTTGTTTGTCAAAAATCTGTGTAGTCGTGCAGGATTAAACTCAGTGAGGAAAAAACCTGTCTCTGTTAGCCTTGTGCTAACACATAATAGCCACCAGATAAGAGCTTGCTCCTCAGTTGTTGTTTTTTTTGTTTGTTTGTTTTGTTTAGTTATTATTATTTATTTATTTTTGGTTAAAAGGCTACTAATTAAGTAAATATTCCACATTATGAACTGTTATATAATGATATGGATGGCATGTTCATGATTCACCATTTTTTATGGTGATACAATATAGGTTCTAGCAGTATGTTCCATGCTCTGTTTTATGTTGGGGGCAGCTTCACAGCTCTTGGCAAATGTCTCTGTATTCTATGGAAGGATCCAGTCCTAACTGCAAATAGTTGTTTTATTTTTGATGTATGAATGTGTAGGAACACAAGTATGTTGGATCATGATTAGGTTTCTAATTTGATCCACATTTATTCATGGTTGGTATTTCATGATACATGAACCCACTGTGAAGACAAATGCCACTGTTGGATTTAGTATCATATCTATCACAATATGAGTGCAATGCATGGTTATGCAAGTAAAATGTTGTGCGTCTGTCTTGTGGCAGAACTCTTTGACGCGGAGCGCGCCAATCCCCAGCGATGCCCAGGGCCGAAGTGGCGCTCGCTTTCACACCTCTTACAACAAGAAATACGTCATAAAGATCATCACCAGCGAAGATGTGGCTGAGATGCACAACATCCTGAAGAAGTACCACCAGGTAAAATCAGGTCCAGCTTCAGGACCCACACTCTCCTTTAACCTCTTCTGTGTGGGGACTGCCTTTAAGGAACTGTCTTTACTAGATTAGCAAAAGAAATACAAGAACTCCTGAAAAAAAGGACATGATTATATGAAGCCTTATTCAAGGAAAAATCTGGTCAATGCTGTAACATGGATTTTCCCAAGTGGAAGTGACTAGGAGAAGTGAGTAGGAGGTGAAAAAGGCTGTCCCTGTGAAGAAGCTGAGTCACTCTTATGAAGAACCCTGGTGAGGTGAAGGCTCAGTTGTGTGTGTGTTTGTGTGTGTGTGTGTGTGTGTATCTTTTCTGTATCCAGTATATAGTGGAGTGCCATGGCAACACACTGCTTCCACAGTTTCTGGGCATGTACCGCCTAACTGTGGACGGAGATGAGACTTATATGATTGTCACGCGCAATGTCTTCAGTCACCGCCTGCCTGTCCACAAGAAGTACGACCTGAAGGTGAGTCGCAGTAGCGAGAAATTGAATGGACATTTACCAGACATTAATTGTATAATGTTTAGGAGAGTTACACATGCACTTTGAGGAATAGTTCAGCAAAAGATTTTGATTTATGCAATTTTTCATTCACCACTGTTGTTGTCAATCAGCCAAGATATGTTTAGTGTCCAAATTTTGCTTTTTTAGTTTACTGCCTTAGGCTAACATTGCTAACAAACACTAGAAGCCACTTGTCACTCACATCTTTTCCATACACACATTTCTTCTCTCAGCTTGCTCAAAACACAGCCAGGTCTTCATCAAGGTCACACTGACTTTTCAGTTTGTATAGGGCACAGTAAGACTCATTGTAAATAATAAAAATGAACAAAATTTCACTGCACAGCTGAACGCAGTGGGCAGCCATATCAGACAACAGTGTTGCACTGAATTCCCCCTCCCCTGCAGAATCTAGCTTCCATTCGCGTGTATGCCACACGGGCATATGGACACTGTATTATATTCATAATTTCTGTTGAACATATATTTTCAGTTTGAAAAAAAGATTAACAGTAATTTATTAAAAGAAACAGCAGAAATCACAAGAAGTCTGCTCAACTTTTAGTGTTTATTAGCAACCCTAGCCTTGTAGCTCTAGCAGTAAATGTAAGAAGCAAAGTGTGGACATCAAACCTGTTTTAACTGATTACATCCATTTAGGATGAGTGGAAAATTGTCTTAATTTGATTTTTCACAAAACCATTCCTTAAAGTTTCAAAGTATTGTTAAAATACAGCATTTTGATTGACATTTGAAAATTTATTTAACAGAAAAGTGTAAAAAAATGAATTTGAGAAAATTATAACAGTAATTTTTAATTACTTTTTCAGGGATCCACAGTGGCCAGGGAAGCTAGTGACAAAGAAAAGGTAAAGTTTATTTTTTTGTATATAGGATCTATTAAGAGTCTTTAATTGTACGATGACTTTGACGCTGTAGGTTCCAATCATGAGATGGTTCATCGGGCCAGGTGCCTATGTGAATTTTATGTTCCAGATAAGCATGCACTTGCACGTTCAGTACATTGCATGTGTGAGTTGGATACTGCTGTCAAAAACATAGAAGGTTTGTTTTTGGAACGCTATATTGGCTTCCCATTTATTTATTAATTACTAAACTCCCCAAATAATTTAATGCTTGATTAAAAAAACCCTGTTTGATTCTCTTTCCATTCATTTTTAAAAGCACCTCTTTTGCGCTCCTTTTTAGTTGAGTGTCATAATGATTTCTTTTGTTTTATCCCTCCTCTTGCTTGACTGCGAATGTGAACGATGTAGTACAGTGCATTGATACCAATGAAAAGAGTAAAATATGAGTCATTACTGAATGCATCTTACTGAACAAAACAGTCAGGGATTAACATAAACAGCATTTTAAAATAAGAGAATAGCTGACCACTGACAGTTACTTAATCATATCATAATTATTGTCTTACTATTAACACACACCATGAACAGTGTAAAGAACTGTGGGTACAGTGGGCTTTCTGTTTTGTGTTACTTCCATTTGTGTTACCTTGTGTTGTTATATGGAATTTGAAATTATATAATGAATAGGATATGAAGTTATGTAATGAATACTTATAGTACTTCAAATATATGGATGGGGAAGGGCTTCAGCATCAAGACTGCATCAAAGCAAATTCAGTGATTTCAAGGCATTTATTCTTATTCTACTAAAACACTGAAATCTGTATTTTTAGTCCACTGAAATCCAGCAAAGGGCTGATGGCTGCTTTGTGATGTTTCATGCATCCTGTATATATGAGGGCATGTGAATAATTTGCATGCATTTCTCTGTTCTCTGTTCTCAATGTGCATGTACACTCCGTTGGCATGGTGAAACGCCCTCATTATGCAGATTTTATTTCTACTCGTCCTTCCAGCTGTATATGATGCTCTTCTGCAAATATGATTTTTTATATTTGTAAATATGTGTCATATACAGTATCAGTTGTATTATCATGTATCAAGTTAATTAAAGCATCATTTCCTAAACAATCAAAATCATTAAATACTAATCTTTTTTTATCAACATGGTAACCACTATCCATATAACAGCTGTCCAATAACAACTATACAGTGTCAGTACTTCTGATTTTTTAAACTGATACTTGTACTGTATGTGTATTACCTAACGTTTTTAAGCTTTCTAAGCTGTAGAACTTACAGTTTAGTTCAGTTAATATTATGTAGGGGTGTAACGATACATATATTTCCAGATTCAGTCAAGTTTTTTTGATATTTTGTGTGTTCAAAATGTCTTGATTCTATAAAGATCTAATTATATGCTACACTGGCATTGGCCCTATTGTCAAGAAATCAGTTCGATACCCATGGCCAGGAGTCCCAAATGAGCATACTCCAAGTAACTTGCTCTTTTTGGGCAGGCAGGATTTGCCCTTCTTCTCCCCGTCACCAAGTGCAGTGTATGCCAACACAGCCATCTGTTAGCTGACATAACAGAGTTGTCAGTTTCTCCTCCAAGCGCGTTGAGCTGTCCAATGACGTTAGCAGGAGTTTGAAAAGGTGTGGTGATTCATGTGAGTCGCGCATGTGCTAGCCTTCACTCAACTTGGTAGCATAGTTTGACAGGAGGCGACGTAGCTTGCTGGTGGAATGGGCCACAGCTCAATTAAAGGAGAAATAATTGGCAAAAATCTAAATTCGAAAAGAAACAGATAGGACGCATTCAGATGACTAGGTTTTGATGCTTGAAAGACAGTAAATGAATGCAGTTTTGAATGTTCATTTTATACATTTTTCAAGACTTTGAAATCGTTACACCCTTAATACTAAGGCAGCTGATAAGGTTTCTACAGTGAGATCTTTCAGCAGGCCTCTCACCCTCTTTCTAGCAGCCACGCCCACCTGACGATGGGGCTCCACCCAAATCTCGTATGAGCCAAAAGCTACAAACCATCCGGATCGCCACGCGCTTTTACTGCGCCATCAGACACGTAAGGACACACCAGCAAAGAGCTGTTACACATTTGCTCTTTCCTCAGCATGTGCCAACCCCCCACGTTTGCCTCAGGAAAAGCGCTATCCTCTCTGGATCCCATGAGGGACCGCAGACTTGAAAGCGTGTCTGCATTGAGCTGCACTCATCCAGAAATAATTTGATGTCTTCTCCCACAGCGACGGTATCTGCAGGGATTCCAAAAAAAATGTTGGACCAGAAAGTAGGCTTGTATGATGGATAATAAGAACTTCACTTGGGTGGAGTTGATGAATGATCAGTGGTCGATGGATGACCTGTTTGCAAAGTTTCATTACATTTTATTACATAACACTTGCATTTTTGTAACAAGTGACATAATCTGTTTTAAGCTGTGTGGAGCCCATAATGTTCTCTAGACATGGATTTTGTGGAGTAATTGGTGTGTCAGTATGTAAAATGTGGTTTGGCGTCAGCTATTGTACAACATCTGTGATATGTACCAAGGAAAGGACTTGCATGTCACCTCTATTAACTTTCCTTTAACTTTAGTCCTGGAATGCTACGTCATTACAGGTGTCTGGCAAGATTGGGATGTATGAAATGAAACCATTGTTTGATCTGACAATGTTTGGGCTAATTGAAAAGGTCCTGTCTGTATTATTATATTAATAGTTTGTAGTAGGCTGACTTGAATCGGGGTAATTGTGGTGTAATAACACAAAGTAAAAAAGTATTTTAAGTAGTTTAATTTATTTTTTTTTATTTTACAGATAAATTAATATACAAATCAGTTTTTTCTTGAGTAAAAATGTATCACGGGGTTATATCATGTTTCAGAGTTTAATTAAATTGTATGTAATGTATTCATATAAGAGGCCTAATTGTAGTTAATATTCCATTATATATATTTGTTGACATCTGGGATAAAACAAGAGATATCATAAATGACTCTATCCTTGTCAGTGCGCACCCAGAAGCACAAAGGTAGTCATATACCTGGTCGTGTATCTTCTGTGCAGTGCTGTGCAGAAGTCAGAGACCGCCCTTCATTTTTAATTTCCAGTCAAAACAACCATTGAGTACGAGTTATTATTTCTTTAAGAGTCATTTCTGAAGAGATTAGATATATGAAAATCCACTTGCATAAGAAAAAGGAAGAAGAAGAAAGAAAGGAAGGTAGGGAAGAAAAATAAGAGACTCCTAACAAGACCTGGTAGACCACCAAAACCCACCATCAGATAAACAGCACTTAAATAATCTAACACGATGTTTAACTGTCAACAACCTGTTACTGAAAAAAGGAAGCAAATAAGATTTTCAAATGAAGAAACTGCTGGTGTTCTGTGGATATACCACCCCAGAGTCCAGACCTCTCTGATTGTGTTTGAGATTACTTGAATTGTGAGAAGTAGAAATTGCAACCAACTTCTAAGACTTCGGGGGTGTAAAGATTTTCCTAGATTTCTTAGAAAAAGTCAGCTGAGAAGAAGCTGCAATAAAGGCCAAGCATTGACACACTGAATAAACTTTATATGTTTAGTTGTTGAGGCTTCTGTATAAGTTTCTGCTTTTTCTGCTTAATCACTGTTTTGACTGTATGTCCATTGTTCTAAGAACACCAGCAGCTTCTTTATTTGAAAATTTTATTTGCATCCTTTTTCAAGGAAGGGTGGTCTCTGACTTTTGCACAGTACTGTAGACTGAGTGGAGTCTCTAAGAAGACACCTCAAGAAAAATCAGAGCAGGAAAAGCACACCAAGCGAGTAGACTTGTCACCACTTCAGTTCCTCACTCACACTGCCGTGGCTGAACCTAATGAGTGCCTGCTGCTTCTGCTCGATTTAAAATGCCTTTAAAATGTTAACTGGCAATGCAGAAAGGTACCGAATGCAACAAGCCTCCAAATTACGTCATTTGTTGATCAATGTTGGCATTTACAATACTGAGAGAAGTGCTGGTGTGGGTGTGTTCATGAATCAGGGTATTTAAATAATCCTAAAAGTTGGTTAACAGAATGCAAACCAATCTTTAACCGTGTTACATTATTGATTCCCCAGTGCATTTTTAATATATTAAAAAAGGCGCCTCACAATCGTACTGCGAGCATTTTGTCTTTATTATACAGCCCTAATTTCAAAGATGGATGAATCAGTTAGCCTTTCTTTTCTCTCTTTTTTTGGGGACATCAGACTAAGGAGCTCCCAACTTACAAAGACAATGATTTCATCAATGACGGCCAGAAGATCTACGCAGATGAGGAGAGCAAGAAAGTGTTCCTGGAGAAACTGAAGAATGATGTGGAGGTTTGTGAACAGTTTGTCAGAAACATCAGAACATGTTTGCTCCTGGAGGGTCTACCATCTTTATTCATTTAGTTCCACCCATAAACTAACACAGCCTTGCTCTACTCAGATGCTTTTGACCCCCCACACTTTGTTGAAACAGAATTTTCCAGAACTATACCAGTCAAAAGTGTAGATCAGTGGTCACCAACCCTCCTCTGGGAGATCCAGTGTGTAGTTCTAGCGTGTGTCTGATGTGCCCACTTAACGCTAGTGCAAATGATCAGCCAATCAAGGACCTCTTAAGATGTTAATTATTATTGTATTATGTCAACTTACTATCTGCTCCTTTCCTACTGCCCCTGTTTCCCATTCTTCTTGAACGTATTTCATTAAAAAAATGAAATTGTACAATGTGTGGGCTCTTTGGGTAGTTTCTAGCCCAGTTGAAGCTGATGGACTACAGCCTGCTGGTGGGGCTCCATGATGTGGAGCGGGGGGAGCAGGAGCAGCCAGAGGAGGAAAGTGAGGATAATGATGCCGGAGAGGAAGAGGGGACAGAGAGTGACGGAGGGGTGACAGGGACCCCACCTGATAGTCCCAGCAATACACTTGACAGCAACAAACCTCTAGGCCCCGGGGAGTTCGACCCCAACGTTGATGTCTATGCCATCCGGAGCCATGAGAGTGAGTCATGTTTTTGATATTTTAAGAATTTATTTGCACAGGAGGACTTTCATTCAAAAAGTATTTGGCAGGAATTAAAAATACCAAACCAAATAGAACTACACCTGACTTACGCGCTGTAGAACAGTGGTCCTTTATAAAGAGTAAACTCTTCAGGCTAATAAATCACCAGGACCAGGGTTTGGTGGCCCTGCTGTATAGTATGATGATGTGCAGTGAAGTAGTTCAGTATATGAGTTCTTCATATTTAATCCACAGTGAGATCGGTAAACATGCTCTTCTTCCCCTCAGATGCACCCAAAAAGGAGGTCTACTTCATGGCAATCATAGACATCCTCACACCTTATGATGCTAAGAAGAAAGCAGCTCATGCAGCTAAGACGGTGAAGCATGGGGTAAGAAATAATTGATCTGCTCTGGTAGACTGGTTGCAGCAGTAGTGTTGCCAGAATTTCATTTCTGGGGCCCCTGCTTACAGGCTGGGGGGCCAGCTTGGAAGCATTATGTTCCAGGGACAGTGAGGCTGACGACTATCAACTAACCTACTTTATTTTAGCTACTATAACCAATGAGAAAATATGAAATTTTAAACACAACACGATTGCTGACCTCACATCAGGTAAAGGCTAATTAACCCGTTCTGTGTTTTATAGCACTGGTGTAGATGTCTGGGGCAGATGGTTGTCGTTTTCCTCAGTATTCAACTTTGTGTTCTTCACTACTGCCTGGCCCATCATTCAGAAGTGTTTTTTTATAAATGCAGCAAATTTAAGCATTTGACTTAGAGCCACAGTGCCATCTACTGGAAGCTTTTTGAACTAGTCAAATGATTTTTCTTATTGTATTTAATGCTGACAAACAGTCATCTATGTGTCTATTTAATGTCTTCCCACTCTTTCTGTGTGTTGTAGGCCGGAGCAGAGATTTCAACAGTTAATCCGGAGCAATACTCCAAGAGATTTTACGACTTCATCACCACCATTTTGTCCTAACTGCTGCCTGATGTCTCAGGATAGGGTTTAGTAGATATTTTGAGGTGAAAGCAGAACATGGAAGCCTCCACCACTACAGAGAGGTTTCTTATGGGATCCTGGGAGTTTTACTGGGATCTGTTTGTTTACATTTAATTTTCCTGTGTTTTGTTTGGCTTTTCCTAAAAAATAAATACATAAATAAATACATCGGTTTATGGTACCAAGCGGTGGATGGACAAATATCATGTACTTGTGCGTTATACTGTGCTGTACCTCTGTATTAGATATCGTTGAGTGGGATGTTGAGTGCTGTTATTGTGCGTTTATCTGGAATCCTCAGAGCTGCTTTTTTATTCTTATTATGTTTTAGTTTACAGCGAGAAAACGTCATCATAAGTGGGCGAATACCTGGGCCCAGGACTGAGAAGGATTTTCAGTGGGGGATTGAAATCTTGAAACCCATCCATCATATCCATAGATTAATACAACTGCAGTTCAAATGATAAGTTCAAGACCACATATCTGGTCATTGTGGATTATTTTGTGTAAATGTTTTATTAAGCACTTGGGAATAGAACTAGAGAGAAAGGAGACTTTTCCAGTCCATTTAGACTGCTGAATGAACAATTGTGCTCCAGTTAATTTCATATTTGGACTTAGATTTTGTGCCATCTGCACAGTTCATTGTAGGGGAGTTGAACTCCAACAGAGCAGAAAACCTAAAGATGTTTGCACATGATCTAATGCACCAAAATATTTATGCAAATTATACCAATTTTATCACAGACTCGCAGGGAGTCATGCAATAGTAGTGAGATGGTGTGTTAAATCACACATTAGAGTATAGTAGACAACAGGAGAATTAGAAATATTAGCATTGTCACTTTTTTATTCTCGAAGAACGAGTAAAGCATTCTTGTTGTGTAATAAGCTGATAATTAGAGAACGTTTTATGGGAAAGTATGCATATATTTTTACATCCCTTTCTTTGGAACAGTGCATTTGCGAGTTTAAATTGGACTGTGCTTCCAGTGGGAACAATGTTGGGTTTTTTTTTAGGAGTTTTTGCTGCTGTAGAGCGTTTTGGTGAAACTGTAAGAACTGAGAAAATCTCTTGGTCTTGCTCTCGTTGTTTCTCTCAAACTTGGTGTGGTCTGAGTGACCTCGAGTATTATATAATCACATAGAAATAGTTACACTGTATGTTTTTTTCTTGAAGAATATCATTCACAAAGTAAGAAACCTGAAACATTTGACTGTACGTGTTAACATCAATATCTACACTGTGCGAGGGTGTGCCTTTTTTACTCGGAACTATTTAATTTTGTATTTGAATCTTTTTTTTAAATAAAACGTTATTTTCTAAAAAGGGAGAGGCGAATGGGACGAATCCCGAGGTGGTTGTACGGTTCCTGTGATCTGTAAATATCTTCGTGTATAATCTATTTGTGATCTTATGACTGAATGTTGCTGTACTAAAGGTACAACCGTTTGCCAACTTCAGAGCTAATCCAGCAAATCTGTCTCAATGTTTGACCGATGTTGAAGTGCAATGTTCTGTTTCTCTGCTTTTGAAAGAGACATCTGACGTGTCACAGTGAAGTGCTGGTTATATCAAATCCTTTTGGAAATTTATTGAGACATTTATTCTGTATTACTGTATCAGAATCTGCTTTATCAGCTACCAACTAAAAGAGACTGTAAGCCATGTTAACCGCTTTTTGAAAAAGGCAGATTTTTTTTTAAGCCTGAAAGCGACACAGCGCTACGGAAGACCTCATGGACTTTTACTCCTGTAACGTTGCCTCACGGTTTGTGATGAATTTGATATCCGTCCATTACATTTGAACCTCGCTGAGGCAAAAGACATTTTCTTCCATGAGTTTTCAAATGTATAAAAACCTTCTTTCCTGAAAATGCTCAGTTCTACTTTGTCTCAACCTGTTTGATGTTACAAGCTCAACACTGAAAGGGAGAAAACTTCCAGGTTGTGTTGTGTGAACCTGATACCTGCAGAAGCATTTTATAGAGGGGAAACAAAGACGGAACCCTTTAAGAGAATCCTGTCAAAGACGCCTAACAAGGTCTGAACAGCTGTCAGTCTATTCGTCATTGTTGTTATTCATGTCATGAATGCGTACGGTTTTCTCATGTGTATGTGCGGTATTCATTTTTTGAGGCACTGTTCCATCAGCATCGCTCAATAAAAGGATGCTTTGCTCACACTGACTCTGTTTGCTAAATCAGCGTTTTATTTGGATTTATCAAAATAATCTCCACAACTAGAGGATCATTTATGAAAGGAAGATGCTAATTTACACTAAGTGAAAATAGAATGATGTTGCTTTGTACGTATAACATGCTTTTACTGTTTACACTTAGTGTTCAAAATAACATCATGCTACTTACAACATAATTATAGACAATTTCTACAGTTGCTTGATGGTGATTCAGCAGCATTAGCATTAGCACCTCTCTCTCTCTCTCTCTCTCTCTCTCTCTCTCTCTCTTAGGGTTATTGCCCCTATTTGTTTTGTTATTGCTATTACTGACATCCACACTTGCTCATATCTGTATATGTGCATTTAGCAAAAGTCAGATTTGTCCATATGGCTGTTAAAAGTACATTTTATTTTGATTGCAACAACTTTAGTTGATTAAATGTTTTATTGAAGACAATAATAACGGACGGTATGTAATAACTTGGAAACACGAGAAGTACACAAACATATTCTCTTGACTTCAACCTTCTTGAATTCATTTGCTTGCCAAATTATAGTGCCAGAACAATAACTATCAAAAATAGTATGCAAATTCCCATTTTGCCCTGATGGGAAATCAAACCCTGGGCTTACACATGAAGGGCAGTGGTACGGTCCACTACTCTGTGCTAACCAGCATCATTCTTTTGTCCTAGCTAATGTTTCACCAACAACTGTTTGGCAATTGTTATTGTTGGATTGATGTTGTACATATTTATATGTTTAATACATATTGTGTAGTGAATGGAAAATTGCACTCACTTATGTTCTGGTCAGCACTCACCAATTCTCCTTTTTTGTTTAGGGAAAGTATGAAAATTGCAGCAAATAATAAGCATTTTATAAACACATTTACCAGGTGGAGTTCTGCAAATAGCCAGGCTGTGTGGCTAATGCTATGCTCACATAAATAGAGTAAGTAGATACTGCCTTTATGAAATAATGAGAGGCAAGCATGTTTTATATGCGTTTAAAACATGCTTGCCTCTCATTATTTCATAAAGGCAGTATCTAGTTGGTTTAGAACCGAGAAGTTCTGCCCTGCAGTGCTCTGCATAACCAGTAGAGGGCGCCGCTCTCTAAGGCCTACAGCCTCATGTTGATCGGTCTTTCTGTCAATTTTCAATTATTTTATGTCATTTTGTATTAATTATGCTAAAAATATAACCGGTCTATAAATTTAGGCCCCGTTTAGCTGCGTCTTAAGACCTGACTCGGCTGCAGGCGTTCAGCCCAGATCTACAAACCGAATTCATTCAGTCTGAAAGCTGTGTGAAGCTTATTTTTCACAAGCCCACTTTATTGATGAACGTTCAGATTTGATATTAGATAAATATTAATAAAGTCGAAAATTGAACCTACGAGCCAGGCTGGTCCGGTTCTTTGGTCTGAGCCCGTTAAGCACAGCGAGTACCGGCCTGTCACGGATCTCAGGACTGGTTTCCACTGTCATATGAAAATGTCAGACTGCGCTGGATTAATTACAGGCTTGTTATCAGTGCGGCTCCGGATCAGCTCCTCGTTTTCGTTCGTATGCGCGGTTTACAGCAGCTCGCATATTTACTGCGTTCCTGATTTACAGCTAAAGGCGATGTGCCGGTGCTGCTCGCGGACTGTAACTCCTGATAACCTTTCTTTTCAATTTCCAAACATTTAAAATACGTTAACTGGTGTTTGCCGCTCTGTGTGGGCAGCCAGACTGACCTGGAGAATAGCAGCTGGTCAGTTGTAGGACCTCAGGCTGGAGCCCCTTCACTGTAGTTTAATTCAGGGTTGGCGGTAGTTTATAAAATCACCGAATCTCATTCGTTTTTTAACGCGTGCGTGTTTCGTCCCCCAAAGTTTTAGACTCAGAAAAAAATCTGTTTTTATTTTGCTTATTTTTTATTACACTAAATTCAGTAATTTATGAACATTCGCACATCTTTCAGCATTTTAGTTTAGTTTTTTAGCCTCAGCTTTTGTTTTGATTGGGAATAAAGGAGGACAGAAATTGGGATTTTGTGCCTCACATCCTTTTACTGTCTGTTCAGCCTCTTCAGCTCGTTTTAAACACTGAGCAGCTTCACACGCAGATCACTAACAGCTTTAAGGCCTTTTGATTACAGTGCCGTGACTGAGGCCTTTACTGATGTATGACAACTAAGGAGACCTGACTAGACTTACCAGCCTGGCTTAATTACGCTGGTATAATCGTGTAATTAATTATTTGGCGTCGTAAAAATTAATCTTCTAACTTAAGTTACTTATAATTACCATCTTTAGCTCCGCTATGCCTGATCTATTATTATTTCATTTTCTGTGGGACAGAAAATTTTGTCACTGGCGGAGAAAAGCTTGTCTGAACCTCAGATGGATAAAAAAAATCCGATTAATTTGTATAATTATCATTCATTTACTCTTTTTCATTCGGCCTGTGGCGTTTTCATCTCTCCAACACGAGCATTCATTAAATAAGTACTAAATAGACCACTAAACAGCTGAACTCCGGGATGCAGAGCTTACATACGGGTTACTGGGGGCGATAGCTGCGTCCCAAACCACATAACCGCTGTACTCCTGATGACTGGGATTCTATTGGTGGTGCAGTATATTTGGCGCGCTGTTCAGTGAGGCAGGTTGCGGTTTTGGACGCAGCTGATATTTTTAAGCGTTTCAGCTGATTTGACTTTTCTGTTCTCAAACGACAAACATGGGGATTTTTTTTTTGTTTTTGTTTTTTAAGACGGGTAGAGTTGGTTGCCTGCTGAATAATAAATTAATACGTCAATTATGAAATTAAATGAAGTAGACATAAAACAAATAAAGCTTCCAAGTGACAAAAAGGGACATTTTTGGTTTGGTATGGAAGCCCTGATGGATCTAAAAACAGCACGAACGTGTCGCTTGCAACGATTTTGATTTTGTCACAGCAAAAAAAAAAAAAGAAAAAAAATTCTAAAAAAATAATCTATTAAATATAGGTTGTGTATTTTAGTTTATACATACTGTTAATTTAATAAGATTCCAGTGGTTTGTCCTTATAGTCTATGGGCTACACATACATACCTCTCTCTCTCTCTCTCTATATATATATATATACACTGTATATTTGTCTTGTGTGCTAACAAACTACCGTAACTGGCTGAACAGGCCGTGGTTTCATCATTCATTCAGGCCAACTGAAGGCAAACAGGACCCCCATCCATCACCCCCAGAGAACTCCACTCAGACGCTCAGTTAGTAATAAAAATGTAAAACGTTTATTTAGATAAAGGTTTCATATTGTGCGACAAGAAATGATACACTGGCTTGAACAAACAGTTGTGATGAATATTACAAAGAGATGTGGAGCGCAGAGAACATTAATACTACAACTGAAGTATCAAAAAAAAAAAAAAAACTTTCAAAGACAGAAGTCTTGACGCACGAGGAGCAAATCTAAGCAGCAATTCTCCATCCTCAGCTGCAGCTCGGTAACGTCCACTCCACATGTGGGAAGCCACCACTGGGAGCTCATAATTCACAAAGGCCTTAAACACTAACCTCTTTATTTTGGAGCGAGTCAGAGGTCTGACGCTGAAACTCCGCACTCGTTCAGAAGGACGTCAGAGCCGACACGAACTTAATAGCCCTTAACTTTTCAATCGATTGAATCAACGTGTGTAAGCAAATCGTTTCACTTGACTGAGATTTCAATGTCGCTTTCTAATCAAGGACCAGAAAAATCATGATTTCTACACATTTATGTTCTAAGCTAAATGAATGGTTTGGCGTTTATACAAATCACATGATGAGATCCCGCCACCGCCCCCTTTCATGAGTTCTCCTTCATCCACAAAATATACTTCACAATTTCCTTCAGCCAATGAAAGCTTAGTAATTAACACAAACATAACAAATCAAAATGCCATGTTTTTCAAAATTTGCACACGTTGTGACAAAACAAGTATATATATTTAAACATATATAATACAAAAAAAACGAAAAAAATAAAAGATGGTGGTCGGAAAAGAAAGCATCTACAGAGCTGGCTCTTCTGAAGCGGGATTTGAAGGGTTTTGGTTGTCCGTAAGTCCTTGGATCACCCCAGAGAGCTGGAGCCGTTTAGGGAGCCTTTGCTGGGTTTGCTGCTGAAGGGGGCTTGGCCGTTAGGGCTGGCTTTGGTGGAGACTCCGTTGACTGTGGAGATGTGGGGGAAGGTCGCGTGTGGGGTCTTGACCGGAGCGGCCGGGCTGGACGAGGAGGAGGATGTGGAGGGGGCAGGGGCAGGGACAGAAGCGGAGGGACTGCTGGGCTTGTCGCTGCCGGAGTCACTCTCCGTCTCGGGCTTTGTGCCTCCGGTGGCGCCGGCCCTCGGGCTGTTCAGCTTCATCTTCTTGCAGCCAGGACGAACTCGGTACTTCAGTGGCAGGGGCCCGTTCTGTAGAACGCCAGTGAGGGTTTACTATGTTAAACTTCTAAAATCTAGGGGCCTGTATGTGGCCCTCACTTTAGTTCCTGACTAGCATAACAACATAACTTCTGAATTAGTTTCATAGTTATTACCAAATAATTTGTAGTAATTACTAAATGATACATCTCAAAATTTAGAATTAATATGCATAGAGCACAAGGGGTTAGCATTAAAGGACAAATATGTAAAATGAGAAACTCCACTGGTATAGTGCCCTGTAAGACTTGTATTCTGTAAAAGAAAATCAATGAAAACAGAGCACAGTAAAAGAAGACAGTATTTCTCCTACCCTTCTCCAGGTGTAGATATAGGCAATATCCATTAACGTGTAGTAATCCTTCAGAGGCTCATCTTCATACATGACCTCAACCTGAAAGGAAAAATTGTTAAAAAAATTTGTTCAAGTTAGTCATGTTCACAGACATTTCTTAAATTATGTAAAAATACAATTCTGTGACAGGAAGACAAAAAAACTTCACAAAAAGACAAAAAAAACAAATTCACAATTTTAGAAACTTACTTGAAAGGTACATGGAATATCCATTTTACTTCTGAGAAATTTTCTGAGATGCATCACTGTCATAGCAGCAGGGCACTGTAAATATCGCTTAACATTTGCCTGTGGACGTTAAAGAGATGAATTAGATAACTAGGAAGACAACTCTCACAATATGTTAAACGGGAAATGGTTTAAATATTTTTAAAATACAAAGTTGATAAGTTAGATAGAGAATTAATGACCTCTTTTGTAGTTCCTTTGTCTTCCCCATTCCCACTTTCAAATCTGTAAAATAAAATATAAATTATATTTCAGAAAGAACCTTTCATATATTTCCCCCTACTTGAATTACACCATTAACAAAAGAACCACTAAAGGTTATCCCACTAAAGGAAACTGATATTGCTAAAGTTGATAATATGTCTTGGTAAAAAACTGACGTTTAGCTGAACCCACCTGCTCTGATCAAAAAACTCAATGGAAAGACTGATGATCTCGTCATCAGCAATAATTCTCTTGTCCTCATCAGCCACCTCGCCTCGATCCTCATTCGATCCATTAGCAGCTGCAGCCCAAACACAGAGAACATGATACGGCTGCTTAATTTGCATGAATTTCACTTTTTGCTATGACTCACAGCACAACCGAGACAACAGTGACAACAGTGTGAATAAACAAAGGAATTTTATTATTAAACAAAATTCTGTTACCGTCACCTGATGGATGCTCTGCATAAAAATCCCTTCTCCTTTTCATTTCATCTGTGTAACAAAAGACTGATCAGTACATAGACATACTGGCAAATTTTCAGGAACTGAAGACGAAAATGATCGTATCTGTGGTGTAGCAACCATGTAATTATATATATGAAAAAAAACTAATGATTAAAGCAGTCAAAGATTGCAATAACTTTTGAACAAAACCTTGTTGGTGGGACTGAAACACAAAAAGGCTTTTTTTTCCTCAAGTGTGTCTCCGTTCTAGGCTGTTTACATTTTTATTCATTAGATTAAAGCATCACACAAGTTCACATATATTAGCACTCTGGACCATGCAAAACCTGGCCACTTACTTTTGAAGAGCCCAGGCACCAGCTTGTACACAATGTCTTGAAGAGTTTTATCTGACCTGGAAGGCAGAGAAAATTGAATATAGACAGTTTTGCCAGAGGAGGGGAGGCGGGGGGGAATACAGTGGGAAGGTTTTTGGTTTTTAACTCACTAACTTTCAGGTTTCGTTAGGGGGGAAAAAGGCAGAATGGAAAAACATAAATACAGTTGTGTGCAGCGTTCTAAGTGAAATTAATGTAATCGAAAAAAAGGTTACCTGATATTCAGCAGCGGCTTTGTTTTGTGAACTTGAACATCACAGATCGGACAGTATTTGCTGGTCTCCAGGTACCGCACTATGCACATTTTACAGACTGTGAACAAAACCAGTGGCATAAAATCAGTATGGAGAAGCCAAACTAGAGCATAAACTTAAATTAACTGACTTTACTTAAAAACATCATGCAAACTTAATGCCTCGGAAAAGTCAATAAGTTACTTAACAGGTTCAATATATACAGTTTCAATAACTGTATATTTCAGTTATAGTTACTGTCTAAATGTCAGTGAACCACACTTCTGCAGCAAGGTTAACTCAAACAGCCCAGTCATTTTAAACAGTTCAACTGAGCCTTAAGTACTCAACTCTTTTGAATTCTGCTTATTCTGGAAAGAATTAGATCCTCCTTAGTTTTCCTCAACAAAACTGAACTTATTGCCTTAACCTCAACACAAAACACAGAAACAACACAAAACCCAAACTTAACATTCAGCATATAAATGTGCTATACCACAGAAATAACATCCAAATACAAGGAGAGCAAAATAAAACTGTAAAAAAATAAGAGCAACAAAAACCAACAAAGCCACTAAGAATGCTGGGAGGATTTTAGGGCTACAGTTTTCACTCGATATAACTATCCGAATTATTCTTAAACCACTTTACCTAAATAACTAAGGCACTACACAATGAACAGTAAGGGTCACTGGATTTGCATTAGCAAGTTTAACAAAAGAGTAAACCAAAAAAAAGTTCATGGAGACTTTCTGCGGATGGAGTTACTTACACGAATGCAGACACTCTACAATGGTGGTGGCGTCGATGAAGTATCCTCCGCACAGCACGCAGATCAGGTGCGGGTTCAACTCCGTGATCTTGATCCTCGTTGTTCGATGCATCTTCATATGAACCTGAGAACCTGAGAGAGACACAACCAAGAATCAGCGTGTTCAAAAAAGAGGACTGAATTAATTACATGAGCTCTGCTTTGACCGTTGCCGCGGCGAGCACTGAAAACAGGTCTAAAACATTAAGATGGTTTATTTTAACACAAAATTACAACCTAAATGGCTGCTTTTCCAGGCCCACACGCTTAGAAAAACGGCCTCCAGGCTATACACATCATAACAACTGCGGAACTGTTTCTAAAAGAACCACATACAGCAAGCTTTCCATCACAGAGAAGAACCATTTAACCATGATAAATCAGTTTATACACTCACGGGGTTCTCTGAGTGTTCACGGCTCTATATATGTAACTATTACCTTTACTAGAGAGCCGTTTTGAGGACGTCCGTGCACCCTACCAAGGTGAAACGGCTACATAAATAAGCCTGTTTTTATTCTCTCACAGAGGTGAATACACAACGTGCTCTCAGACAAGCGGGCCTATAAGCAAAAAAATAATGCTTTCTCTGCTTTTATTTTCCCTCTAGATATCCACAACCTCAAAAACTCAGGACTATTCCGTTCACAAAGTGCCAAAAACAACTTATCAACTTCGTTCAAAAACTGTTTCTCGTGTAATAATTCGAGATGATTCTGCCATACGATTTTACTGGCCGTTTTACTGAAGCGAAATGTGGTAATATTCTGTGAAAAAGCTGAACCCGGCGGCGTTTTAACCCCGCCATTCTCGAAAAACTCACTAAATAAAATAATTTTTCTGAGCTAGCAGATGCTAACAGCTGAACCACCACAGCATGATTTCGCGCCATTCGTAGGTGAGGTGGCTCGCGCTAAAACACCAACGCTCGCTGTTGCTATGGCGACGGCGTAGATTCGGCAGTCGGTAACGGAGCTGCGCGGCCTGGTGGATTCACGGGTCCCGTCGTTTTATGACTTTTATGGCCGTTTACGAGCGCACGGCGGGATAAAAAACACGGCCCGCGGCTCCACTGGCTCCTACCGCGAGGCGTGCGGGCTCTGCCGCGGCTGCCATTTTGCCACACCGTCTCGTCTCACGGGCGAGTTTGTGCCGAGAACGGCGCGCCATTGTTGAGCTCATGTTTTGGTACGAGTACGCAGCAACCGTTGGCGGACTACAGGTCTGCCTCTGCCTACAACCGGCACCTAATACAGTAATTTAAGGAAGAATGAAATACCGTCGCGGTGCGGCTGCTTCTCCTGCCCCCTTTTTCTTTACTCCCGAAGTACCTACTGAGGCAACGGAAGCCCGCGGGGCTCGTGTCGGTGGTCCCGCCGCCGTGTTTTAGCGGGACTGGGAGGAGGCAGCCTTAATATCAGCAAATGCTACGAAACACGGCGGTAATAACACCGCACACAGGCTGACAGAGGCTTTAGGCATCTCCCATATCTCTGAATAGAGAGCTCACAAACTCAGCACACAGGTTTAGGTTCCAAAAAAAAAAACAAAAAACAAAAAAAAAGAAGAAGAAGCTGCAATTAATTTCATGTATAACCTTTTTATATAAAAGCAAAGCGCTAACATTAGCCTACCCACTCTATTTACTTTTAACCTTCTGTAAGTGTTCAGTAGTTCTCCTCTGAAAGAAACGCTGTTATTCCATAAAGTGGAGTTTTACTCGTTCGCTGCGGATGGTCAAAAAAAATTGGACTTTTAATCAAATCCAATCAAATATTTTCACATAAGGAGGCGTTTCTTGATCTGGCATCTCCTAACTTTAGTCTCCAGTCATTTCTGAACTTTACCATCCCGCTTAGCCAGCTGCTACTAATTAATAATGTCTCTGGCTTTAAACCCGCTGGTGCACATTTTCATTTTTCTATGCCTCTATTATGCAGTGTGGTGAGGAAATCTTATCATGTGTACACAACACGGTTGTTGTGATGCCACTGGGAACCAGCCGAGGCAGAACAGGTGACTTGACCTGTCAAGATCCTGTCATTCAGCAGAAACGGACAGCCTGGCACGTTCCTCACAGCTGGACAGCCGCCGTCGCTTTCAGTGTTTTCAGCTTCAACAGTGGACATCATCATATGGACATACATTGAATATTTATCGGATGAGCCCTGATAATCTCAGGGTTTGCACTTCCAGTACTCGGCCTACAAACAGCTTCTCCACAGCACATTCAGTGTGAATGACACTTCACCCGTGGCTTCATTTCTCACCTGGATTTTTCCCTACATGTAGCGGACATGTCAGGAGTGGGTCAGCACAGCTCGGTTTGTTAAGGACGACATCTGCCCCGCTCACCAGTACCAATTTGAGCCATTCACAATTTCACTGACTGGAAATATTGTTCAACTTGTGCGAATTTGAGGGAACCACTTCTTAAGCTAGCCAGTCTGCCCTTCAACAGGAAGAAGGAAAGCGGTTCGCCTATCCATATAACCTTAACTGGTTTCAAACCCAGCCTCTTTTCTTTTCTTTTTTTTTTAATCTGACAAGAAAGTAATGCAATACTTCAAGAGTTGAACAATGAGAACCCGACTTTCTAGCAGGCCACGCACTTCATAACAACATAAGCTACCAGGCTAGTGTATTCGATCAGCCTGGTTCACCACACAGCCAGAAGACCTTCTGAAGTTAAGTTAATAAAATTAAACACAGCGGACAAAACGTGGTCACGTCAATTTCCACCACACCTACAGTACCTAAAGAACGCGGCTATGTCAAAACGAGAAGTCAATTCGTTGATGGTTTACCAAGAACAAATGTGTGAAAGTGGACAAAAACGTTGACCGCCAGACCCACCTCGGCTCTGCTTTTCTGACTTTTAAGCCAAAATACGACACACAAATCACACGAGCGACCCCAAAAAGGGATTATTACCCCAGCTTGTACCACAAGGTGAGCGAATATGGGCTCCACAGCGGCATTTCCAGCACATAAGGGAGGAAATTTAAATAAATTCGCGTACGTATGAGGGGACACGGAACCGTACGAGGAGGAGGAGGAGGACAACATTGTCACGGTGCAGCAGGATAGACCCTACGTGTACGTCTCTCGAGCGTTCATTCGTGTACATTGGCTCATAAACCACCTACCTGCTTTATTCCGCGACGGTTTCTGTCCAGCGGTTATTTTGTGGCAGACAATGAAAGTTGAGAGTCGATCAGCAGAAAATGAATGCTACCCAAGCGGCCATCTTGGAATGAAGTGCAGACGCTGTCAGTTGCAGTGGCTCCACCGCAGCAGCTCCATTGTAGCCTCGCTGCGCCGCTTCGCACCAACACCGACCAGCCGAGCAGCCAACGCACCGCTCTGTTCTCTTCTCGATCCGCGGAGCCGCTGAAGCCGCGGCTCTGGACGAAGGAGCTTTAATTTGCGCGGTAAACGGCTGCGTTGGCTCGGCTCTCCGCTTTCTCTGCTCTCTTCGTTGGGCGGTTTGAAAGACGCCGTGTATGTGTGTGTGTATGTGTGTGTGTGTGTGTATGCGAGCGTGTATGTGTGTGGCTCTGCTTGCTGGAGCTCTGGAAACTGACACCGTCCCCAAAATGGCTTTAGTCCGCCCGCCCCGCTCAGTCACGTGGTGTCTTTCCTCCTCTCGGGGAGTCTGGGAATGAGCGCTTGGGGATGGGGGGGGCAACAAGGGTCCCCAACACAGCCCCTAAGAAAAAGGGGAAAAAGCTCCAAAATGCACGCAGCTAATGAATACTAGACAGGACTCACACGATGCTCTTACAGAAAGTTTTCGATATATTTTTTAGACAATGGCTTCACTGCACTGTGGATGCGTCCAAAATATGGATACTGCCAATATACATACCACTTCATATATATGTTTCGCCAAAATTATATATATGACATACATCGTTATATATATACAATGTGGCAAAATCTAGATTGTATATGTGGATGCTGCGACGTCAACGTTGTGTGTTGTCTAAAACAACATGAGCTGCGATGTGCTAGACGAGGTAAGTTACCACGAGGACAGATATTTAGGACGTTTATTTTATTTTATTTTTATTTATTTATCGTTTTAACTGCGCTGTGAGCACGCGCAGAAGAGTGTTGCTGCTATACGGCTAAGTCAGTCATCTTTGAACCTTCGCCTTAGATAGTTATTAACGGGCAAATCTCATGTGCGACCCTTTGGACCCCAACCTTAATTTAACAGATACGGTGTGTGGTTTAGACAGGCTTGGTGCTCACAGAACTGCAGTCTGTACTCTCAGCTCAGCGAGCTCTGGAGCCCACAGAAAGAAAACGGTTTTTATTATTGACAAATATGTAGATTTAAATAAAAAGTACTGTTGTTGACGGAGGCCTTTTCAATTCCCTTTAGCATTAGTACGACTGGGGATCACAGAGGGCATCTCAAGACGTTTTGTAATCACTCCTGCTTAGGCTGTTTGACCAAGATAACTTTGGTCAGCACACGATACCCTAAACCCAGAGGCGGGGATGAAAAAGCAGACAAGAAAAATCAAATTTTGATTTTAGTTCCGTGTAGTTTAATTAGGCCCCTGTTTGCTCTTCGGGTGTCGATATTCAGTTAGATACGTCCTTGTAAACAGGGCGTGAACCACATTTTATTCTGAGATGGGGCCGTGTGATCACAGCTAATGCGCGATGATCTTCTCTCCCAACAGAGCACGAGCGGTAAAATGAGTCAGGGTGAGCTTTTTTTCAGAGGAAAAAAAATGTAATAAATTCCATTTAACAGTTACTCAGAAAAAAACTCACTGAGGTGGTACCCTGGAGGGTAGATCTTCAGTACCTTCAGTTAGGGAACATAACTGTACCAAAATCCATTGAAATCGCATTTTCTAAGTTGTGTTGACTCCACACGCCCCGTTTCGTCTCCAGTCTTTTTATTTTATTGTTCTGTTTTAAAACATTAGGTTATGAAAAGGTAATGTGTTCCTTTCTCCTGGTTCAAACTCATGTAAAGGACACAGTTGGACCTTAAAAGCATTGCAGTATTTTGAGGGTACATTTACATTGTTTGTACCCTGATGAATGAAAAATGTACCTGCACGGTACACAGTGTAGAGTAATGAGGCAATGAGCCTATGTATATATATATATATATATATATATATATATATATATATATATATATATATATATAAACATAGTTGGTTTAAAGCTGTAGGTGTTTTTTATGTTCAGCGTTATCGGACAGAGCATTTCAGTTTGCTAATATTAAAAAAACACGTCTGGAGCTTTAGGACGTCTGAACAGAGGTGTGTGTGCTGAACGCGGGCCTATCAGGACATCGCCTTTCAGTAGGAGCACCGGTCAGTGCGGCTTTCTCTGCTCCGGCGGTTGTACATCTCGAACGCGGCGGTGATGTCAGCCGCGCAGCGAAAACAAAAAAGCCGCGCTCTAAAGCGCGCGCGCTTTAGTACAGAATTCAGCCCGTTTACGTAAGCGCGCGCGCCTCATAAGTCTGAACCTTCTGCGCGTCATTTAGGCGTTGTGACTTGGTTCTGACGTATCTGGCCGAATCTCCGCTCTTAGTAATGTGACCAGAATTCTGCCCGTTCTGCTCGTGTTCTCAGTGCATCGCCTAGACAGCGCGTGGAGTCGGGGCCGCAAGCAGGTCAACAGGCAGCGAGGATTCTTCAGCTACGCGCTCTGGTTAGTGCACAAGTTGGACCGTGGCCAGGACAACCAGCGCGAGAACTCTGCGACGTTAACGTTTGTTGTTGTTGTTGGTGTTTTTTTTTTTGTTGTTTTGTTTTTGTTTTTGTTTTTTGGTTTTTTTTTTTTGACATGGTTAAGACGCACTGTTTTTCCTAAGCTGGCTACCGTTTTAACTGATGCAACAAACTGAGTTTGATTTTTCAGTTTTCTGACGTCATCACCTCGAAAGGCAAAGCCCGGTGGACTTTCCCAACTTCAAGCTGTAGCTCGCGTCAGTGTGTCGGTTTCATCTGACGGTGTTCATGTAGTGATGCAGAAAGTAGTCAAAGAAAAAGAAAACATATATATTCCTCTCTTAACGTGACAGGGAGGTTTATTAAAAATAAAAAAATACACATTTCTAATGTTTCTTATTCTACTAATAAACCTGCGTGTCGGGCTTCGTGTAGAGGGCTGGATTTGATTCATTTCTCTGAACCGGGCTAAATGTTTTCTTTAGTGCTTTAAAAGATGGATCGATCGATTGATTGATTGATCGGTGGTTTGAATGACAAATGGAGGTCAGGACTTCTGCTTTGTCGTTCCAGCAGAGCTCAGAGGCGCCGGGCACAGATGGCAAATTCCTGAGCTGAACTTTAATAAGACCAAAGCGTCAGTCAGATCGGGTTATTTTCGTCTGATTACGTCACGTCGCCACAGTCCTTCACAAGTGACGTTTCATCATTCAGTTTTGTTTCCTGCGTGTGCAGCGCGTGCTCCTAAAGCTTAATACCAAACTTAATAACATAATTCAGAGGGGGGGGGTTTACGATTTTTCTGTCAGTCCGCGACTCTTCTGCATCAGCGCCTCCCATCTGTCTCTATTCCTTCTGTCTGTCAGTATTCATTTCCTTTAGAGTTGCTTTATCTTTTCTTCCATTAAGCTTTTCCGCTCTCCTCTACACTCACACACTCATTCCCAGCGCATTTACACTGAATTACACTTGTATTCGCTTTCAGTACCTTTAGTACTAATTTTTTTTCAGGACCAAATAAATCGGATACGCTTTATTTACAAAAGTTATTGTAAATGATTAGCGTATTATTATTTTTTCTTCATTATTATTATTATTATTATTATTATTATTGAGTTCAGCTATAAGGCGTAAGAAACATATGCAATTAAATTTTTAAGCGCATGAAAAACATAATTGCGTAATTACGTCATAAGTGTTCTTTTTCATGATAGAAAAATTAAATGAGAAAAATAATCGATCGTCGTTGCTTTTCTCTCTCTCTCTCCCTCTCTCTCTCTCTCTCTCTCTCTCTCTCTCTCTTTCTATGTATATATAAGTAAATATATTTACATACATACATATTCATACATATGTATGAATTTATTTGTGTGCCTATATGTGTGTGTGTGTACAATTAAATGTGAAAGTCTACAGTGAATGAAAATTAAGGTTATAATTATTTTGTGAAAACCAACAGCAATTTAGGGAAAATAACACCACTGGCTGAATAAAAATATTATGTTCTCAATCTAATAATTCTAATATATAACATATAATGTAGCATAAAGTAGCTGCTGTTTTCCCAAACGTGCTCTGGAGAAGGTCTTTACCATCGATTAGCTCTATCGATACATTAAACACACAAAGAAACTCCATTTCGAAGGACCAGCCGAGTGTGTTTAAACACACACATCAGCGGGTTATTGTGAACTGGATCCGGTTAAAACTGCTAAAGCTGGTTAATTCCTGCTGCAGGGAAATTTCGGTGCATTATGGAGCCTCTGGTGATCAGATAAGTGTCATTAATGGGATGCTGGAGTCCATGTGGAGGAGCACTGATCCACAGTGAAAGCTTCAATTGTGTTACATAAAGTCAGAAACTCTTCCACTCGGAGAAGTTTGGTCTTCAGTTTCAGGCTCACGGAAACAGTGGGGTTCTTCTTTGTCTTAGAAGGCGGTCAAACCAGAGCCGTGCTGTCCAAACCAGACAGCATTTCGAGAACGTACAGGAAGACTTATGGTGGAAAAGCAGACTATATGTATATATACTGTATAAAATGACAAATGCATTTGACCTCCAGCTCGTGTTTGTCGCCAGTGCTAATAGTTGTGGTCATTATAAACAATAAAGAGATAAGGAATTTCACTCTACCAGTTAGGCCGAGACTGTGTCCCTCATCCCGAGACCTGATGGCCGTGTTCAGGTCTAAATTTTGTTGTTAGAACAGATGAGAGTGGCCAAGCCTCATCTGCGAAAGGAACGTGGTTAATAATACATGAATAAAATTAATTAAAAGGAATCGAAACCCATCAGAGTCTAGATCTGTAATCCACCTCTTATGAAGGGTTCTGGATTGCAGACTACTTATGAGTATAAAAATAATAAAACGCGTTAAAATGGTTTTAGTTAATAGCACAAATGAAATGTCACCTGATTCCAGCTGTAGGCCTCCAGAGCTCAAATCTTTCCCCGGGGTCAGAGGCTGGATGACCGATGGGCCGAAGTTGAGAGAACGGATAGACTTCATCTTCACCCATTAAATTTAAAAATTAAATAATGGAAAATAAATAAAGATAGGCGGATCTCCCACAGATAGAGACAGAGAGAGAGAGAGAGAGAGAGAGAGAGAGGCAGAAAAAGAGAGAGAGGGAGGGAGATATTCCTGAACAGATGGTTCTTTAAGGGTTCTTTAGGACAATGGTTTCATATAGAACTATGAACCCCCAAAGAACCATCTTTTATGCTAAAGTGGTTCTTTCCATGGTGAAATGGTTCTTCAGATTGATGGAGGATGTGTTGTATATGGTTCTATATAGAAATTATTTGAAAATAATTCTGTATGGCACCAAAAAGGGTTCTGCTGTTGTATACAAGCTATACAAGAACCATATACAATAGAAGAACCATTTCACCATGGTCGTTCATGGTTTTGTATAGAACCTTCATAGATAGATAGATAGATAGATAGACACTCCACGGGAACATATTATATAGATCACTGGGAAGATGTCATTTTTTTGTTATTTATTTGTTATTTATTTATTTTTTATTTTGTGAGGGCAAAAAAAATATTTTATGAAACGACCTGGTTCAAGTGATCTCATTGTGAACTGCGCATGACTGAACCCGGAACGCAGAGGGTATCAGAACGGATTATTTGGCCCGTCTTCACAAGAAAACGATGCTTCTTCTACATTTTAACGTGATGGTAAATGGCTGCTGCTCTGTGAAACATCGCAGTGCTCTTTGTGCCCGGTGTGTGAGCGCCGCTCCACCCTGATTGGTCGCTCGTGTGGCGGCGGCTGTGAATGCGGCGTCCGCGGCTGCAGCTCCTCCACCACCACACAGCGGAGCGGAGAGGCCACGTAGGACAGGACACAGAAAGAGAGCGAGCGAGAGGGGGAGGGCATGCTAGGCTACCTTAAACGATAGATATCCACTACGTAGGAATGGACAGTTGATGTCAACACATCGTGAAAAACACATTTAAGTATGAAAATGCCTTCTTCAGCGGGGGTGGTCGCGCTGGTCTGGGTCGCCGGTTTTCTTTTGGTAATCCAGCCTTTACCCACCGCAGCGTGGGACTTAGACCTGGAGCTCTTCGACCTGGTGGAGGAAATTCCGAAGACCTTCTACGAGTTCCTGTCTGTTAGCCAAGTAAGTAGCTGTACGGTTTGTTTAACGTCTGTTTTCACCAAAATGTTCTTTGGCCCGCTTGGTTGTATATCACTCAGCTTCGTATGTATGAATACTGCTACACCATTTAAGGTGGAACGGGAAAATTCGAACAAGAAGCTGGAGAAGAGGAAGCCAGCTTCAGCCTCAGGTCGAATAGAAGTTAAGCGGCTAGCTTAACTTTGTTCAGGCGTTTCATGCTGCAGCTTGGAGTGTTTCCCTTCTACTTGGTTACCCCTTACTTGGCTAGCTAGATCCACGTCTTCATTTCCGTTTGTTTGCTGTTGTGGGTTTGAGGTCGGCGGCACCCTTTGTTAGCCAACGCCGCCTCCAACGCAACCGGACTACCGCTAGCAACTCAAGAAAATGTCGAGGCTTTTGAGGCCTGTTCGTTTAGCGGCGGTATAACGGCCGAAAAAAGGCTTTCTCGAGAAGAAAACTACGTGTATAAATTACTGTCTGCTTCGACCTCATCTTAACCCTTTCTTTAGCCCATTTTATCTAGATTATCTCGACATTTACCGCCATCATTTAGGAGTGGAAAGCGGATTCCGTTCTAAACGCATATAAGAAAATGTCTCGCCTTGGATGTTATTCTTTATTTCGCCTTTGTCGGTGTGGATAAATGTGAAAATCACGAAACCATAGCTTTACTGACTGTTCAACACACGTTGCTAAACCACCAGATGGCACGCATGTAACATATTATGGTAGTCAGATGTGCTGTTTTGCCTTTCACACAGAAGGGTGTTCTCAGACTTTTCTTTCCTTATATTATGTAGTTATTTCAAGCAGAGGTTTGTTTTTCCATCTACTGTCTCAGTCTGTCGCCCTCTCTCATAAGGCTAATTCTCATCCATAGGATGCAACGTCATCTCAGATCAAGAAGGCCACCAGCTGGCACGCATGTGACATATTATGGTAGTTAGCTAGATGTGCTGTTTTGCCTTTCACACAAAAGGGTTGTTCTCAGACTTTTCTTTCCTTATATTATGTAGCTGTTTTAAGCAGAGGTTTGTACTGTCTCAGTCTGTCGCCCTGTCTCATAAGGCTAATTCTCATCCATAGGATGCAACGTCATCTGAGATCAAGAAGGCCTACAGAAGACTGTCACTCACCCTGCACCCTGATAAAAACAAAGATGAAAACGCCGAAACCCAGTTCAGACAGGTAAACCAGTGCTCCACACTAAAGCATCTGCTCTTAAGGAACACCTATAGGACTGCATGCTATGTTATAGGAACTCTGCAGGTTTTTTGTAACCTGCAAAACAGCATATGACAAGGAAAAGAGCATACTTGAATATCTTTTTCATTTCTGTTTCAGCTGGTCGCCATCTATGAGGTTCTTAAGGATGAAGAACGGAGGCAACGGTAAGGAGATAGAAGAAAAGCTACTATTGCTTTTCTTGTTTCTACACTTTCACCACCAAATAACTAAGTTTAGCTCTAGCTGGAATCCAACGTGCAGCGTCTAGATGCTTCTAAAGATTTTGATTGTCATTCAGGTAGTTTAGATTTGATTGCGTTCCGCCTTGAGAGCATTATTGAGGTCTGGAACTAATGTTGGATGATTAGTTTTGGATCACAAAAGCTACTCCAGTTCATCTCAGAGATGCTGAATGGTGCACCATCACTCCAGAGAGTGCAGATCTACTGCTCTTCAGCACAATACTGAGGTTTATACCATTCTAGCCAGTGCTCAGCATCCTGTGGGTTTGGTGGTGCGATAAATCTAACAGCACTTTCTCTGCAGATATGATGACATTCTGGTTAATGGGCTGCCTGACTGGAGGCAGCCTATGTTCTACTACCGTCGTGTGAGGAAGATGAGTAACGGAGAGCTGGGCTTCCTCCTGTTCCTCATCCTCACAGTGGGCCACTACGCTGTAATCTGGTCCATCTATCTGGAGAAGCAGCTGGTGAGTATGGTATTATGTATCTCTGCAACAGTACATGACTGAGGTACCCCTGAGCAAGGCACCTAACCCCCAGCTGCTCCCCGGGCGCTGCGGATAGGGCTGCCCACCGCTTTGGGCAAGTGTGCTCACTGCCCCTTAGTATGTGTCTTCACTAGTGTGTATGTGGTGTTTCACTGCACGGATGGGTTAAATGCGGAGGTGAAATTTTCCCATTGTGGGACTAATAAGGGTCACTTAATATGAAGTGTCATTAAGATGGATGTATGGTCTGTCACACTGTGTTTCTCTCATGTTTCTCAGGATGAACTTCTTAGCAAGAAGAAGAAAGAGAAGAAGAAGAAGCAAAGCAGCAAGGTAGCTGAGGAAGTGAAGACCACTGGACAAGAGAAAAATGAGAGGTGAGGATGTGAAAAACGTGCGATTCTGCACTCATAACCAAGTGACTTACAGTGATCGTAGTGCCCTTAATAAGCTTCTTATCTGTTTCTCTCCACCTTAGATCAGATAAGCCGCACTGGCATGATATTTTACCCCTCAAATTGAGCATCTGGCTGTATTACTCTTTGAAGTCTCTCCCACACGTCATACAGGTACTTCACCACCACATCAAAGCTGCCATTACGTGATACTTACTGCATGTGTCTTATCTGTTCAGTTTTGTTCGTGGTGAAAAAATTAAAGTATATTGATTTTTTTTTTTTAATACGCATTTTGATTTCAGGACGTGAAGCAGTACTACAAAGATTACAAAGAAATGAAAGTGAAGGAGAAAGAAGAAGCAGAAGCACTAGCACTAGCAGAGCAAGAAAGTCAGCAAAGTAAGACCCTCCCGGAGCAGTTTACGTGATCTGTAGAGGAATAATCATCTAAAAGTGCTAACATGGCGAACCGTGGATTTAAAAGGTGGCGCCCACTTGGTTTCATTCGTTATTACTAATGTCAGCGTTCATTTTTTCTGCAATAACTGAGGTTTGTGAGGGAAAAACGCACCTGAAATTCCTTCCTTGTAGCTGATATGTTGTGTATCGGAGTATGTGAATCGATCGGAGCTGCAGCAGTTTCCAGTCCATGCTCAAACTGTCTGTAATCACTACACTCCGGGTTTTCTATTCCTCTCGACACAATATAAACAGTGATTACAAATTGCATGTCTAATATAGAAACTGTGAAATAGTTCTACACAGCTTATATTTTTGCTGTCGAGTTGGTTGTGCTTCGGGCCCCAAGCAGATGAATCTCATGTCGGTGAGAACGTTGAAAGAGTATTTAAAGAGAACTTGATGAAGGACGTGTCTTCCAAGGATGTGAGTGAATTATCTATGAATTGTCATCATATCTTCATCAGCACCTTCTTTTTGAGCCTGAGTGTGTGGCTGTAATACGTAAAGATGATGACACGGTCCAAAGAAGTCCTGTGAGTCTGAGGCGATGCCTCTGATTATTAAACAGTTATTTCAGGCTTTACAGGGCAACTCGCAGCAGAGCACACACGTCGTATTTTAGCATGTTTTGTTTCTTCTGACTCAGTGATGCTAAAAACTTTTACATAGCGCAGCTTTAAGAATTTGTGAACTGTAAGGTTTTAATGCTTTATAGATCTATTTGATCTTTTGCCAAAATGTAACTTTAAAATTGTTTTTTTAAATAGTTTTTTTTTGGTATGCATATTTTTATTTACATCTTTTTCTTCCTCAGAAATGAAAATAGGCACTTTTGGGGCCTTTAAGACTCATGTAAACGATATCTTTCAATGTCCTGTATTGTGCCTCATTCAAAATGCAGAAATACTCCTTAAAACATCAACTGTACCATACCTTCTAGTGTAATAGTGTTTGTTGTTCTGTGCAGGAGAGAAACGTCCCAAGGTGAAGAAACCCAAGATGGAGTTTCCAGTTTATGAGCCCAGTGAGGCAGCTTACATACCTGCATATGACCAGGGAACGTCCATCGAGGACATTGAGGATCAAATGGACGATTGGCTGGAGGATAGGAAACAGCAGAAAAAGAAAGTTAGTCCATAGTTTTTTAAAATTATTTATTTTTATTTTTTTTTACGCTTCGCTAAAAATTTAATCGATCTTTTGACATATAAACCTTTTGTTTGAAGTTCAGAAGTAAAATTGTATTTTGAGTAATGTTTTTGTTTTCAGACTCCAGGGTGGACAGAAGAGGATGTCAGCTTGCTAACTCGCAGCATGGCAAAGTTCCCCGGAGGGACACCAGGCCGGTGGGAGAAGATCGCCCATGAACTGGGCAGATCCGTTGCTGAAGTGGGTGTTTAAGCAGTGCATACGTAGTGTTTGAGCGATATGGCTATATTAAATTTAGAACTTAAAGGAATTACACAGACACACACACACACACACCTTATCTAAGCCCCTTATCCTTCTGGGTCGTGGGGGGTGCTGGAGCCTATCACAGCGGTCATTGGGCAGAAGGCAAGAAACAACATGGACAGGTCGGCAGTCCATTGCATGGCATTAAAGGAATTAGTTGGTAGTTAATGGTAAAGCTGACCTCTGAAACGTGGCTGAGAGAATGAGATATTGGCCCGAATGCCAGAGTAGATAAAATAGACTGTTTTCAGTGAATGACCCAACTCTGAGAATTTTAATGTTTTTTTCTTTTATAGGTTACAGCTAAAGTGAAACAGATCAAAGACAGCGTCTCCAGCACACCTGGTAGGTCCATTCAAATACAGGACAATCCCGTAAACTTCTGATTAAAAGACAGAATTAAACTACACACTAATTATTCAGTTATTAACGACTATGAATCTGTAAGCTGTGTAGTCATGAGTGTAAATCAGTGAAGTTTGGGCCACATGCCACACTCACAGTTAAAGGGGTTCAGATCTGTTGGTCTCTCTCTTTCTGTCTTTTTCTTTATTTTTTTGTCTTTGTTTCTTTTTCTGTGTCTGTTTTCTTTTTCGCTCTTTGGCATGCTCTCCATCTCTGTTTGTTTCTTTTTTTATTTGTCTATTTTTATCTGTCTCCATTTCCCTATTCTACCTATTTCTTTTTTCATGTCCGTTTCTTTTTCTAACTCTCTTATACTCATTCTCTTTCTCTTTTGTGCTCTCACTCTCTTTTTCTGTTTCATTTTCTGTTTTTTTTCTTTCTCTCTGTTTTTCTTTCTTTGTCTCTCCTCCTTTTCTTTCTCTAACCTTTTCGCTTTTTCTTGTGCCGCCTCCTTATTCTTTCTCTTTCTGTTTTTTTTTCTTTTTTGTTTCTTTTTTTTCTCTCTCTCACTTGGTCTTTCTCATACTTTTTCACTCACTTGCTCACTCTCACTTTCTTTTTTTTTTCTCACTTTGTTTGTTGCTTTCTGTCTTTCACTTGCTCTTTCTCTCTTTTTTCCCCACATATTGTATCTTCTGTTCTCTCGCTCTCTCTCTCTCGCTCTCGATCTCTCAGGGCTGGTAAAGTTCTCAGATCTGAAGAGCTGTGCGACAGTTGGTAAAGGCTCTGTCCCGGACAGTCTGATGACCCAACGAGAGGAGCTCGAGCCATCGGCGCCCTCGGAGCCCGATGCTGAAGGAGACTCTGAGAACCGGACCGTGAGGAGGAGAGCCAGGAAATCAGCAGCAGGGGCTGCTGGGGCAGCAGCGGGAGAGGAAAGGGTGAAAGGGCGCAGGCAGAAAGACTTTGACCCCACGGCTGTGGATGAGGACAGTGAAGACGAGAAAAAGTCCTCACCCTCAGCACCACCCAAGGAGAAGCCCAGCGCTTCTGATGACGTTTGGACCCAGAACCAGCAGAGGCTCCTGGAGCTTGCCCTGCAGCAGTACCCACGAGGCACTGCTGAACGATGGGACAGGATCGCTAAAGTGGTGCCTGGGAAAAGCAAGGTGAGCTGAAGCATTCAGTCAGCTAGCTCCTTTAAAGTACGAGCTGTCTGTTACCATAAATGATCTGGCTCGATATTTGTGTTAAAGAAGGACCTCAGCGTTTTTAAGCCTCTGTCTGTCGCATCTGTGGAGCACTACTGTTTAACACTGGGCATTAATTTTGATGCTTCCCCTGTACTTAGAAAAGAAAACTTTCAGACATAGGTGGTCATGAAACTCACTAATAACGGAAGCCAAAGGCAGGAGCTGTGTTCCACATATAAGTTTAAAATAACTAAAATAATACGTTTGAAACTATAAAGTGCACATTTAAAACTACGGCCAGGGAACTCCCCACCACCGGTGGTTCCAAAACACACTTCATCATGTTCTTTATAACTTTCATATTTCATAAGCTGCATTCAAAAGGTGGAGGTCATATGAGAGCTGTAACTGTCTTCTTTCCAGTCAAATAGATGGCTGATGTAATTTTTAAACTTTTATAATAAAAGAAGCTGAACTCACAATTTTTTGTCTACTGAAAGGTCGACCCATTTTTCCACAAATCTGGGCTATAAACTATAAACAGATGGCATCTCTTCAGTGATCTTCTCTGCAAAAATTATTTTTATAAAACATTACAAAGATTTTTGGCTTCCAGCAGTAAATTGTAAGCATATAGCGATACGTGTATGATCATAAAACACATTTTCTGTTAATTTGAGGGAAACTTTTACAAAAAATAAATAAATAAAATAAAAATTGACATTTATTTCATGCAGTTACTAAATAATTTGCCTTATGATTTGGTCATGTAAATTCTGATGGACAAACCAAAATATACCCACAAGCATAAGACCAAAGCTGTTCTTTTGTTTAGGACCAAGTTTAGCACCGTCATCTGAGAAATTCTACATGTTTCGCACATATGCTTCCCAACAGAATTCAGCATCTGCCCTCTGGTTCCTAAGTATATTAAGTATATTTGTTTCCTATATGTCAGTGGGGTTTTCGGTCTTTTTCTGCCTGTACAAAGAAGTCACCTTTGTTGTCTCTGTTAATGAATTGACCGCTACAGATGTGGCTGATAGAAATGAGGCTGAAAAATCAGAGGAGTGTACCTGTGGCTATGGTTATCAAAGCTGATATAACACAGTGACGTGCAATTTAATCACATAATAGAATAATAGAATTAATTACAAAATAAATAAAAAAATTGGAATGCTCCTTTTGGAAATTCGTCTTTTATGTATTTATGTGCATTACAAAGAGAAACATTTCAAATGGGCCAAACTGGCATTTTTTTAAATCCTTAGAGAAAAAAATTGTTACCTATTTAAATAACATAAATCAAATTAAGTGCTACATCGAAAGTAAAAGGCAACTGGCTGCTCTTACGTGGCTCACATTGTTTACATCATAAAATTGCAACACAGATCAGACAAATTAAAAAAATAATCATTTTTAATTTTTTTGCCAGTTGCGTGATTTGAAGATAAATTACGCTGATTCTGATCTTGGCCGATTCTGATTATGCACCTTTTTTTGTCATAAAACTGAAGTAATAATAGGCCAAAATAAACAATAATTTGGCCAAATGCTGATCACGTTTGAAGCAAAAAAATGCTGCTGATCCCACGCATCCCTGACCGATATAAGTCTTAGAGTTAAGACTGTCATTTTGCTTTATTCAGTTCATATTACATGTTTAATTGTAATCATATAATTAATTACCACAGCCATCTGTGGCCAGAAGTCCAAGAGTAAACAATTGGCCTCGCTCTCTAGGTGGGTATCACTCAGCACGATGCTAGTCAGCGCATGCATCTGTCAGTTGATGTAACATAAATGGTGGTTGTCGCTTTCCCCTGAGTGCGTTCAGCTGTCCAATGATGTTGCATTAGCAGCAGTTCGAAAAGATGTGGTGTCTCTTCACAGGTCTTGAAGGAAGCCTGTACTAGCCTTTGCCCTCCTAGTGGTGTTGGTATCGTGTGGGGGGGGGTGTCCTAACTAGCTGGTGGAATTGTCTAAATTGGGAGAGAATTAGGAAAATATATAATTAATTATGTCTACGTTTCGTTTACATCTTGCATCAGCAGGTTCAAGCATGCACTTTCAGTGTCAACAGTTGGTAAATACAGTGGCAAAAATGTAAAGGATCATTATCACTGATGACACAAGATTAAATGGCTAATGTACAGTTGGGCAAAAGTTGGGCACCCCTGGTCAAATGACTTCTTTTGTTAATTTTTTCGAGTGAAAATGAGTTAATGTTCCCAATAACACATTCTCTGCAGAGAACGTGCTTTGGCACGTTTTAATGCACAAATACTGTTTATTTGATGAATATAACATACTGAGGCAGAAAAAAACATGAAATGTGATGTATGCAGAAGTCATGGCACATTTAAAACGTAATCTTTTATTTTTCCATCTGGTAATCTCAGAGAAATAAATAGAAATTGTGCACTACAATTATATGAAAATATAAGATGTGTTATTGTCACACAATGAATGGGGGTCTTCAAACTGCATATGACTATGATATATACCTGTTCTTTAACTTTGCTTATCATCATCTTTGTTTTCTCCTCAGGAGGAGTGTATGATCCGTTACAAGCTGCTCGCAGAGCTGGTGCAGAGACGGAAACAAGCAAAGAGCTGACGCTCTGGACCTCCGAGCCCTTCCTTCTGTACCTTCATCTCTCTGTCATGTGCCTTAGCTTTGCCAAAATCATGCTGTACATCGGCCCGGTCAGCTCTAATGCTGCCTGGCATGTTCTGCAGTACTTGGACATATCAGTATTGGAGAAATCTATTTGTGACCTGTATTATTTGAAACAGCAGATGTGCTGAAAATCAGTTTATTATTTATTTTAAATCATTCTCTGCTGCAGTCTCCACCGCAAATGTTTCATAGTGCAGTTTAAAGCAAGAGGAACAGAAAGTCTAAGTCTCTCTGTTTTCAGAGACCCAGTATGTTGTTCTTTTTATCCGTTTGTCACATTGTAATGAAACATAAAGCATCGTGTACAACTGATGTATAGTGGGGTCATGGTGTCTGTTACATTGCAGAGTGAACAGAACAGTTTAGCACACAAACAGTGATAATAGTACTGTCACTTCCTGAACAAGGACATCTATAGAGAAATGCTCACAGCGTAACAGATTTAAGAAAAAAAATATGACAAGGAAGTTTTCTCAAAAAAAATTAAGTGTATGCCTGTCTTTTGTTAAATCACCCTGGGATCTGTTAATATTTAAAAGGTTTCAGTCACTGTGAAATACTGATATGTCTTGCCCATCTATGTCAGTACTGAGCAACAAGAATTATGCTTCATATCTTGTACCAGACGTCAGGCAGCGTATTGGTGACCGTTTTCTGTAAAAGCAGTCTATAGAACTGAGCATTTCAAATCAAGCCACTTCAATTGATGTCTACATCTTAACCATTTCATAATACAAAACCTTTATACCAACGTTTTCATTTATTTATTAATTATACAGAAACCTAAAAAAAAAAGGTTAAATTCACCCGTAAGTTTACTCACTTTTAAGATTTTCAGATGTTCACAAGACTTCACAACAAAGAAAATAGTTCTACGTAGAACACTCAGAGAACCTTTTACATGATTAAAGCGTTCTTTGCATTGTGAAAACATTCTTCAGATCGATAAAGAATGTGTTGTAGATGGTACTGTATAGAACCTCTTTGAAAAGCGTTCTTCTATTGTTAGAAACTTGACATTGTGACAACAGCAGAACAGTTTTTGCTGCTATATAGAACTATTTTCCAAAAAGATCTATATAAAACCATATATAACAGGTACTCCATCAGTTTGACACTTTCACGATGCAAAGAAAACTTTAATCATGTAAAAGGTTCTTTGGGTGTTCATGGTTTTATATAGAACCATTTTCTTTACCAGTGTACACTTGAGGAACCATTGAATGTACTGGGAATAAAGGTTGAGCTATTATTGGTTTTAATGATATTCCTTGAGAGAAATAGATAATCATACCGTTTATTTTTAATTCCAAAAATGGTGCACTGTACCGTCTTGCCTATTACCCAGTCACACAGAAGTCGATAGCCTATGATTACAGTCTCCCTGTACTTTGACCAGCCTGTGTGATTATATAGCTATAAGTTGAACGGTTGACTGTTGTGGTGGTGGTGATAATTTCATATTTAAATCATAATCAGTTTCTTTGTTTATATACTACAGGTATATAAAGCAGTATATACATGTATATCTATGTTTAATGATTTCTCTGTACTTTAATGCTTTTTATACATTTTAAGTGTGATTTTACCAAAAAACTGATGCTTTAGTTTGCTTACATCATGTTAGGAAATACCGTCTATCATTCTTCCCTACTGTAATTTAAGAACAGATCAGTTTGTAGTGTTTTCCTGTAGTTACTAAATAATAACTAGGAATTAGGTCTGGGATGTTGCAGGATTATGCACCACTTTTTGTTTAACACTTGATACACTGTCCAAAAGTATCCACACAGCTCTTCTAATGAGTGAATTCAGTTACTTTAAGGTGGACCAAGTGCTGACACAGTTTGTATAATCTCTATAGAGAAGCACTGACCAATGGAATGGGGCTTTTTGAAGCAGCTACACAAGGTCACCAATCCTCTCCTGAAGATAGCAGTTATCTGCTTGGCTTTGACATTGTGGCTGAGACTGTTGTCTACGCTTGGTATAGGGCAGTGTATTGTTTCCTATCCTGTTTCTTGGTAGAACATATGTTTAGTTGGATATTATTGTAACAGTTGCGTGAATGACTGATACGCTGCTGGTCATTGAAATAGCGTCACTGGACAAAAATTATATGTGTGAGTTACACCCTCTAGACTTGATATAAATGTTGACTGCAAAGAGCAGCTTCAAGACACCTCATTAAGTGTTTACCTGTAGTCAGTGTTCTCTTAGGACAGTATGATTTACTGTGAACTACACAAATGAACATAATTTCACTGTGTAGCTAAACACGTTCAGGATTTCTGTTGTCTCTACCTATAAAGTTGGGTCCATGAGAATTTTGACAGTGACACAATTTTTGTCACAGCACCACCACAGTGGGTTTCATATGAAGCAGTCATGATTTATTTGAAGTATAGACTTTCAGCTTTAATTCAAGGGGTTTAACAAAAATATTGCATTAATCTTTTCTGAATTAGACATTTTTAACATAGTCCGTCCATTTTCACAGGCCCAGAGGTAAATGGACAAACTTAACATGATAAATACAAGAATTTTTTTTAAATACTTGGATACAAATCCTTTGCAGTCAATGACTGACTGAAATCTGGAATCCATGGACATCACCAAATGTTGAATTTCCTTCTATGAGATGCTTTGCCAGGCCTAACTGCAGCCGCCTTCAGTTGCTGCTTGTTTGGGGGTCTTACTGCCTTCGGTAAGTCAAAAGCATGCTCAGTGGGGTTGAGGTCAGGTGGCTGACTCGGCCATTTAAGAACATCCCGTTTTTTTAAGAAGCTCTTGGGTTGCTTTCGTAGTATGTTTTGGGTCATTGTCCATCTGTTCTGTGAAATGCCGTCCTATCAGTTTTGTAGCATTTGACTGAATCTGAGCTACAGCTCTATACACTTCAGAATTCATCCTGCTACATCTATCAGCAGTCACATCATCAATAAACACCAGTGACCCATTTCCATTGGAAGCCATACATGCCCATGCCATAGCACTACCTCCACCATGTTTCACAGATGATGTGGTATGCTTTGGATCATGAGCCATTCCTTTCCTTCTCCATACTCTTGTCTTCCCATCATTCTTGAATAACTCAATCTTGGTTTCATCTGTCCCAAGAATCTTGTTCCAGGCTTTTTATTTTAGATGTTTTTAGGAAGGTCTGATCTGGCATTTCTGTTTTTGATTGTTACCAGTGGTGTGCGTCTTGAGGTAAACACTCAATAAGTAATGATCCAATTCAGTTGTTTTCTGTGGTTGTCCAGGTCTTTTAGTGTTGTTGAGCTCACCAATGCAATACTTCTTTTTAAGAATGTACCAGCTGTTCCCATGAACAGCTACCAAAAGCATATTCACCATTAGAAATCAACTCCAGACCTTATATCTCCTTAATTTGCCATGAAATAACAAGGGAACAGGCTACACCTGCTTATCAGTCAACTGTCCAATTACTTTTGAGCCTGTAAAAAGGAGGGACTATGTGAAAAATGGAATGAAATGAAAGCTGAAGTTCTTCCGCTTCATTTCAAATCCATTGTGGTGGTGTACAGAGACAAAATTACAAAGATTGTGTCAAATGTCCAAATACTTATGGACATGACTGTAAAGGAAGGGTGGCTCTGAACTTTGTATATTACTGCTGTATGTATCAGCACTGATGATCTTTAGGCTATGGCCTGCTATGGTCATTGTAAACAACAGGCCACTTCCGTTTGTTAAATGTGAAAATATCGCACCTCCAAAAATAGTCATACCGCTGCTTCTATATGCCATATCTTTTATTATGATTTTAAGTATATGCTTTGTTTCATAGTGCGATCTTTTTGATACACCTGTCTCACAATGAACTTTAACAAATGTCATTGGTTCATTTTAAAAAAGAGTTATTGATTATACAGTCCTCCATGTACTTCTTAGAAAATCAGGAAAACCGCTGTCTTCTGCATGTCTTCTGAAAATGTTGTTTCCCTCATATGTCTTCATATTCCACATCGCTGTCTTCTTGCACGGTGTTGGCGCTACACTTTGTGGTTTTTGTGCTCTTTCACACCTCTGCTTTATCAGCATTATCTTTTGGTGCGAGTGAGTCAGAAGAAAGATCATTGCAATGTCACAGATCCAGACTGAGAACAAGAAGTATCGTAACCATCCTTCAAAAAAATAAATAGATAAATAAAATCACCGCATAGAAATCAAAAGGGAAGAATATACATAAATTCTGCTCCTGGAGTTCCTCCACACCACTACTCTGTTTTCCCTGCTCTAAAAAGCTCTGCATCACTTCTTTCAGTGCATTAATATTTTAGTCCAAGGGTTGCCAGCTGCTCCTAAGCCAATCAGAAGTTACATACAATAAATACCAATGAATTTTCTAACTGGCCTTTACTATTCTTAATGATTTATAGCAAAGCATAGCAATGAGTTTTTAGAGTATGCTCAGTTCATTAAGATTATTCTTGTACTCACTTTTTCATCCATTACTGCTGGAACTGGGGGGTCAGTGGCTTTTGAGCATCCAGTGCTCTCTGTGCCTCTGCAGTCTGTGCCCACGAAAAAGTAGAAGAAGGAGCATGAATAGCCATTCTGAAGAAAGAAGACAACTTCCTCTTTGACCAAATTTGGAATGGTCGAGTAACTCTTCCTGAAAAGGGTACGTGCTGTTTTTTAGGACTGGAGACCACTTGAACAAACCACTAATCATTTTCACCATTGTTTGTGTTTACAGGCTTACAGACCTTGATAGGAAAGCCAGCAGCATATGTTCTTCTGGGTGCTGGTCTGCAGAGATGGAAGTGAATATGCTGGTCACCAGCAAAACCAGCATACACCGATCAGGCATAACATTATGACCACCTCCTTGTTTCTACGCTCACCTCCTTGTCTCTACGCTCATTAGCCCCCTTTTACCCTGTTCTTCAGTGGTCAGGACCCCCATGGACCCTCACAGAGCAGGTACTATTTGGGTGGTGGATCATTCTCAACACTGCAGTGACACTGATGTGGTGGTGGTGTGTTAGTGTGTGTTGTGCTGGTCTGAGTGGATCAGACACAGCAGTGCTGCTGGAGTTTTTAAACACTCGTGTCCACTCACTGTCCACTCTCTCACTTTGTTGGTCCACCTTGTAGATGTAAAGTCAGAGACAGCAGCTCATGTGTGTCATCATAGTTTGTGTTGGTCATCCTCTAGACCTTCATCAGTGGTCACAGGATGCTGCCCACAGGACGCTGTTGGCTGGATATTTTTGGTTGTTGGACTGTTCTCAGTCCAGCAGATTTTTAAACTAGAAAATATTGTGCTAATTGATTTATCAGTCCACTCAGGCTTTAGCAGATTAATAACTGATCATCACATGGATTTATCAGTCCACTCAGGCTTTATCAGAGCTCAGTAACACTTAGATTAATAACCGATCATCACACTGATTACAATTCAAAAATATTGGAGGTTTTAACTTGGTCTGGGCTGCCTTCAAATTTTTAGTTATTTGAACCTCAAACAATGAATTAATGGGGCATAAAACATAGATTCTTGTTCCGTTAACTTACTACGCAAAGTTCAATTAACTCAACATTTTAAGGCAGCCCTGAACACTAACTTATTTAAGTTAAAACATCTGTTTTTACAGTGCAGGCTTGAGTACATCATTTTCAGATTTAGTGGGTAAGCGTTCTTAAAATGTTTTCCTAAGAATGTAAAAAGTAACCATATTCTGAATACAGACATTTAATTTCTGTATTCTGAATATGGATTCTCAGAACTGAGTACAGGGTTACATCTCAACCCTGTTGGTATGTTTAGACCTATTTATATTAACATAAGGGTTCATTTTTCAAGTAGACAACAAGGCATGTCTGTAAGCTGCTCTGAAAAGGGTGCCAACTAGCATAAGTGTAAACATAAGCATAAGACTATAACACCTCCAAAGCCAGTGAAACTTCCTGTGCCGTACGCTGCTCATTCTAAACATGTTACAAACTACAATAGTTCATAAACAACAATTAATAGTTATTTTATTGTGATTTTGGGTGTTTGCTTCCTGCTTCATAGTTTAGATTTGAGAAATTAAAAAATACATTGGTTTTTGAATTCCTTGTGACAATGTTATTTCTCTTATATGTTTTCATATTCCATATCGTCATCTTCTCGCATGGTGCTGGTGGCTGTTCTTTGTGCTTTCTCACATCTCTGCTTTATCTGTATTATCTTCTGGCGCAGGTGCATCAGCAGGAAGATCAGAGCAATATCGCAGGCCCAGACTGAGAACAAGAAGTATCGAAACCATCCTTCAAAAAATAAACAAATTCATTTAGTATACATAATCTATACATAACCTCATAACCGTATCCAGTCCTGCTCCTGCACCACTCAAGAACTATTCAGCATGAGGTGAACTGGAACAGGCCTGCTGTTACTGACGGAGTGCTTAAAGGGCCCATATCCTACATTTGTCTTGTGTTTTGTTTCACTTTCCCTGAGATACATTTATAATACATGATACAATATACTGTATAATATAGTGTGTTTATGTCACAGAAACTTTCCAAGAATTTTTCACAGTGATGGTGATAGGAACCAGACGTCTGAATCATTTAAGGCCTCTAAAAGCTCCCTCACAGACAGTTATTACACAAGTTATTGCACCATTATCAATATCACATATAAAACCTCAGGTAACACACTGGTCATTTTTTTGGACAGCAAGTAAAATGGCTATGTTTGTGTTGTGACCCCTGGTTCCTATCACCACCACTGTAGAGAGTTTGTCATAAATGCACCATTTCACCTTTCATCTTTTTGAATGACTTTGTTTACATCTCAATAAAAATGTCAAAATTTTGAAATTTGAAAAATGGAAAATTTCTAATTGTGAAATTTTGAAATTTGAAAATGTGTACATTTCAGCGCATAATTACTGTTTAATTGCTGAATTTGATATACTGGGGAAAAAAACATTAAAATATGGCCTGTGCAAAAGGTTGCCACATTTTTTCACTTCATGTTTTATTTTTTTACAATATGTTGAACAAATAGAAATTGTGTATTAAATTTGCAGAAAACACTGGAACAGAAATTAGGCTGTACTTTTATGTTTGTGCTTTATTATTGAAAGGTTTGTGATTGAACTTACCCATAAAGTCATCCGTGTAGCCCTAAACAATCAGAAAATAAAAACTATTCATCACAGATGAACCCTTTAATTGATCATTCATATTTTTATTGATTAGTTTAGTACTGTATGTTTTAAAGTCTGTTCTATCAGAATATTGTTGTACTTACAGTTCTCTTCAGTTTAAAGTTGGAGGTCAGCAGCTCATGTCGGTGGCCTTTGTGAGTTTGTGTGCTGGTGAGAAGAAAAGAGGCTTATAAATAAGAGGTGGATCAGAGAGATGGTCAGTGGGTGTAAACACTTCCTCGTTTGGCTCCTCAAATGTTTCAAATGGTGCTAAACTTCTTCCTTATAGCTTGATGCGCTGAGATCATGTTTGCCCTCTGTAGACCATTTTTACAGACCTGTAAACAAACCTTATCAGTGCTGATTGATAAATGACAAATTGATTAATTTTCCATCTCTGAGAATAATATCACTGAAAATGAGGCTCAGACTGTAGCTGTACCATCTAGATGTAAATAGCAATACCACTCAAATGTACTCCATGTTTATGTACATATATATGTGTATGATATTGTATATATACAGGGAGTACAAAGAGTAATAAATATACAATTTCATCTTACTGTACATATATTACTCTTTTGCGTAAGGCTGGGTTGAAGAGGAAGAATAAATACCAAAAGCATGTGTACATCAGTGGATCTGTTCTTCCAAAGAAAACTTAATAAGAAAGAAAGAAAGCACAAAAGAAAGAAAAAAAGAAAGGAAGAAAGAAAGAAACAAAGAAACCAGCAGGTGGCATCTGTGCGCCTCATAACGCAGTGTCTGATTTGTTTTCACGCCCGTATTCCGACAAGCCCCGCCCCCTGTGCTGCAATTGGCTCGAGCAAATCGCTCATGTTCATGTGCAGTCCGTCTGGTTAATGTGCTGGTCACCAGCAAAACCAGCTTATGTTGTGTTTTAGATGCTGGTTTGGTGGTCAACCAGACCAGCTTAAACCAGTTTAGATGAGTGATGGACGTACAGAGACTGAAACATCAACACTTCTGATCCAAACCGAATATAGACCACAGCTGAGCTGTGAGTAGAGCAGTAAAGGGAACAGCCACAACAGCAGAACAGCACTGTCTACAAAGGCTTTGCACACTGCGCCATCTGCTGGCCAGAGGGGGAAGTCACACATTAGAGCTGTTTTTCTGAATATTTGTCCTGAGTGGCTTGACGTTAATTCCATCCCGGCTTTTACATTTAAATACTTCAAACGCATTAATAGTACAAAATGTAACACAATTTGTGAATTATCGTGTGTTTTGTAAATATCTTAATATGTGACTTCAGATCTCCTTTGATTGAGGGTGGTTTTCCTTTTATTTATCATGTATTCATTTTTTTTATTCTATTTGAATGCTTTTCCTTTTATATCATTTGTTTTGTAGTTATTTACACGTGTTTGTTTCTGCTCAGTGTAGTTTTTCTTTGTTCAGTATATTTCGATCCCAAAGGAACTGTGCACAGCGTAAAATTAAGGGGCGCCAAATAAAGAGAAAATGAACAATCAGCTGCAGAGACCACCAGAACAGCAGACTAACACAGAAGAATAAACAGCCCTGCTGAAAAAAGACCATTAGAACTATCAGGATTAACACCTGATGGTTTTGCCTTCTGATTGGCTTAATGGTTATCATTAGATAGTACACTTTCCTGTAAGGCACCTTTAGATCCCATTAGAAAACCATCAAATACACCTGGAATCAGTTCCAGGTGACGTATTAAACCATTAGAATCCTTCACATTTGATATCAACCCAACAAGAAAAGACAAAAACATTTCAAAACCATCACAAACCAACAGAAACACTTAATGGTTTCTATGAAAGGAAGTGAGAAAGAAAGAAAGACAGAAAGAAAGAAAGAGAAAAGAAAAGAAAGAAAGCACAAGAGAAAGAAAGAAAGAAACGTGAGAGAAAGAAAGAAGAAAGAAAGAAAACATAAGAGAAAGAAAGCACAAGAGAAAGAAAGAAAGAAAGAAAACATAAGAGAAAGAAAGAAAGAAAGAAAACACAAGAGAGAGAAAGAAGGAAAGAAAAGAGACAGAAAGAATAAAGAAAGAAAAAAGAAAAGTAAGAAAGAAAGAAAGAAAACAAGAGAAAGAAAGAAGAAAGAAAGAAAGGACAAGAGAAAGAAAGAAAGAAATGTAAGAGAAAGAAAGAAGAAAGAAAGAAAACAAGAGAAAGAAAGAAAGAAAGAAAGAAAGAAAGAAAGAAAGAAAGAAAGAAAACACAAGAGAAAGAAAGAACAAAGAAAACAGAAAGGATGGAAATAAGTCTTTTGAAATTACAGCACATTTTAGAATTTATGTTAAACTCATAAAAAAGGACATTTTGCTTTTCTGAGGTTTGGAAGAGACAAAAACAACCCCAGCGAAACAGCAGCGCTGCCTTTACGAAAGGGTGTGAAAAACTATGACTGTTTCAATTTCAGTGTTTGTAAAAGATGCTTTATTTAAGAGCAACAGTTACAAACAGTAGGTGAACATAAATGAAACCAATCTTAATGGACTGACATCCAAGACTGGGCAGTTTATGCAGTTACTGTATTCTGGTTGTGGTTGTTGTCATTGTTGTTTACAGGCTCACTGTAATTAGTCTAAATCTTTTTTTAATGATCCATGCAGTTGTTCAGTGTTCTAGAAGTATTGACGACACATGATAAACTAAGAAAAAAGTATTGGGATGTAATTGATCAAGATAACAGTACCATATCATCGTACTGCGGACCCCTCCCTGGGTTCTTTATTTATCAGCACTGATTCCTCTCTCTGGCAGTGTGATTAGACTCTGTAGTAACATAAGGGTTCACTTTCCAGGCAGACGAAAAAGCACTTCTGTAGTGCTGAGTGTCTGTTGAAAAGCACAAGTGTAAATATAAGTGTGAGACAATAACTCATCGAAAGCCAGTTTAACTTCCTGTGCAGTACGCTGATCGTTCTAAACATGGTACAAACTACAATAGTTCATAAACAACGAGTAATTATTTTATTGAGTGTTTGCATTTTGCTTCACAGTGCCATCAATTTGAGAAATGAAAAAAAAAAATACATTGACTTTGAAATTCCTTCTGACTGTGTTATTTCTCTCATATGTTTTCATATTCCATATCGTCATCTTGTCGTCTGGCGTCAGTGGCTGCTCTCTGTGGTCTCTCTTCTATTTTTGCTCTGTCAAACATCTGCTGTGTCTTCTTTTGCAAGTGCATAATCAGAAAGATCATTGCAACATCAAAAACCCAGACAGAGAACAAGACGTATCGAAACCAACCTTCAAAAAGTAAACAAATAATAAAAATCATTATTGAGGAATCAAAAGTGTATAACATACATAATCTATGCATAACCTTATAACCATGTCCAGTCCTGGAACAGGCCTGCTGTTACTGACAGAAGGCTTAATCAATGAGCTCCTTAAGGGCCCATATCCTACACGTTTCTTTGATTTTGATTCATTTTCTTTCATTGAGATACATTTCTAATATAAAATATAATACATTATATATATTAGAATATTGTGTGTTTAGGTACAAAAAAACTTTCCAAGAATTGTTCACAGTGGTGGTGATAGAAACCAGACGCCTGAACCGTTTAAGGCCTCTAAAAGCTCCCTCACAGACAGTTATTACACAAGTTATTACACCATTATCAACATGACGTAAAAACCCACAAGACACCCGTAGGTCCTCTGGTCATTTTTTTTGACAGCAAGTAAAATGGCTATGTTTGTGTTGTGACCCCTGCTTTCTATAACCACCACTTTAAAGAGTCAGTCAGATTCTCATAAATGCACCATTTCACCTTTCATCACTTTGAATGACTTTGTTTACATCTCAACAGTCAAAATGTTAAAATTTGAAAAAATTCGAATTCAAAAATTTTCTAATTTAAAAATTTGTACATTTTACTGCATAATTACTGTTCATTTGCTGAATTTAGTAGACGGGGGTGAAGAAATAAGCCATAAAATGTGGCCTGTGTGAAAGGTTGGCATATTTTGTACTGTTTTACTGTGTATTTCTTTTTACAATATCTTGAATAAATAAATAGAAATTGTGCACTAAATTTGCAGATTATATATCATATTTAATTAGAGGATGTGTTAACATGTTTTGACTTAGAAAATCAATAAAACATGTAATTTGACAGGGAGTGTTCAAACTTTGCGTATGATTGCATGTTAATGCAAAAAATGTAAAAATAACATCACTTCAGCTGAGCTATTGCAACGTGTTAGAACAGAAATTAGGCTCTACTTTTATCTTTATGTTTTATTATAGAAAGATGTGAGGTTTAACTTACCCATAAACTCACCCATATGGCCCTAAACAATAAAAAAATAAGAAAATAATTACAATAATAATAATAAAATTCAGGAAATAAAAGCAATTCATCACAAATGAACCCTTTAATTGATCATTAATATTTTACTGATTAGTACTGTATGTTTTTAGAGTAAAACCTGTTCAGAATATTGTTGTACTTACAGTTTTCTTCAGTTTAAAGTTGGAGGTCAGCAGCTCATGTTGGTGGCCTTTGGTTGTGTGTGTGCTGGTTTCTGCAGTCCAGAAGAAAAGAGGCTCATTAATAAGAGGTGGATCTGAGAGACGACCAGTGCATGTAAACACTTCCTCTTTTGGCCCCTCAAACAGTTCGACTGGTGCTAAAGTTCTTCCTCATGGCTTGAAGCACTGAGATCATGTTTGCCCTCTGTAGACCATTTTTACAGACCTCTAAAAACCTTATCAGTGCTGATCGGTAAATGACAAACTGATTCATTTTAAATACTAAATGCATTTGTACATCAGTGGGTCTGTTCTTACAAAGAAAACTTAATAAGAAAGAAAGAAAGAAGGAAAGAAGGAAAGAAGCACAAGAGAAAGAAAGAAAAAGAAAGCAAGCAAGCAAGAAAGACAAGTAAGAAACGAAGCAAGAAAGAAAAAAAGAAAACAAAGAAACCAGCAGGTGGCATCTCTGCGCCTCATAACGCAGTGTCTGGTTTGTTTTTACGCCCGTATTCCGACAAGCCCCGCCCCCTGTGCTGCAATTGGCTCATGCAAATCGCTCATGTTCATAAGCAGCCCGTTTAGTTAATGTGCTGGTCACCAGTAAAACCAGCATATGTCGTGTTTTAGATGCTGGTTTGGTGGTCAGCCAGACCAGCTTAAACCAGTTTAGACCAGTGATGGACGGACAGAGACTGAAACATCAACACTTCTGACCCCAGCGTTTATTTTTGTGAACTGATCCCCGATATTAGGTGTTTTCTTTGATCGATGAACCGAATATGCATCATTTTTTTTAACCTTAGGGTGAAAAACTAAACAGCAGCTCTTCCTTCAGCAGCTCTGCCATTTTATCACCACCAGACAAAGTTAGTGACATTTTGTCCGCTTTAAATCTTCAGTGAAACCGAATATAGACTGGAACTGAGCTGTGAGTAGAGCAGTAAAGGGAACAACCACAACAGCAGAAACAGCACTGTCTACAAAGGCTTTACACACTGCGCCATCTGCTGGCCAGAGGGGGGAATCACACATTAGAGCTGTCTTTCTGAATAGCTCTGTATATTTCCTACAAGAACATCTTAGTAATGTGACTTTCCCTTTATTAATTATTTATTCAATTTTGTATTCTATTTAAAGGTTTTTTTTTTTTATTCATATCATTTGTTTGTTGTGGGACTAATAAAGCATTATCTTATCTTGTTTTGTAGTTATTTACGTATGTGCTTGTTTCTACTCAGTGTAGTTTTTCTTTGTTCAATGTATTTGAATCTCAAAGGAACTGTGTACTGTGTAAAATTAACCTCTTCTTCTCCAGGGTATATTTTGGTTTGTCCATCTGAATCTACATGACCAAATCATAAGTCAAATTATTCAGTAACTGCATGAAATACATGTAAATTTTTATTTATTTATTTATTTATTTATTTTAAAAGCTCCACTCAAATTAACAGAACATGTGTTTTATGATCATAAACATATTGCTATATGATTACAGTTTACTGCTGAAAGCCAAAAATCTTAGACGCTCTTTGTATTATTTTATAAAAGTAATTTTTACAGAGCAGATCACTGAAGAGACGCTGTCTGTTTATAGTTTATAGCCCAGATTTGTGGAAAAATGGGTCGACTTTCAGTAGAGAAAAAAATTGTGAGTTCAGCTTCTTTTATTATAAGGGTTTAAAATTACATCACCCATCTATTTGACTGGAAAGAAGACAGTTACAGCCTCATACGACCCCCACCTTTTGAATGTAGCTTATGAAAGTTATGAAGAATATGACGAAGTGCGTTCTGGAACCACCGGTGGTCTCAAGGAGTTGAAGAGGTTAAAATCAGTCAAAAGAAGAGAAAATAAACAATTCAGCTGCAGAGACCACCACAATAGCAGACACAGGAGAATAAACAGCCCTGCTGAAAAAAGACCACTAGAAATATCAGGATTAAGACCTGATGGTTTTGCTTTGTAATTGGCTTAATGGTTATCATTAGAGAGTACAGTTACCTGTAAGGCACCTTTAGATCCCATTAGAAAACCATCAAATACACCTGGAATCAGTTCCAGGTGACCTTAAAAACCATTAGAATCCTTCACATTGTGATATCAACCCAACAAGAAAAGACAAATACATTACAAAACCATCGTAAACCAACAGAAACACTTAATGTTTTTAGTGTTTTTTTTTTATATATATATTTTTTATTTATTTATTTTTGTATTTATTTTTGTTTTTGCTATCTTTCAGCAGGAACTATGACTATGGTTGTAGGAGTGAATGGGGTCATTTCTTATGTTGCCGGTGCAGGAAGTCTCACACAAAGTGAATAAAACATAAATGAGAGAAAAAGCAAAAAAATAAAATAAAATAAAATAAAAACAGTAAAGAAAAAGGAAATGTGAGAGGAGAAAAGAAGTTAACACATACTCTGCAGAGAACACACATTATTTGTCAGTCTTTAGCGTTATCTGTGCTCAGACTTCGTATGGGAGACTGCTGTTGGATCAGGGTGGAGGACAGTGAGAGTTTATTCGTGATTTTTATTAGTTTATTTTATTTCCAGCTTCTTTACCATGAACTATTTTTATCGATGTCAGCGCTCACTGACAGACGCAGCTGTGCTTCCTTCTTTCCTGGCTGCAAACCACACTGTTTCAATCTCCATGGTAACAGCGGCGCCTCTGATTGGTGGAGCTTTCTTTAGGATGGGTGTGTAGATGGGTGTGTTTCTTTATTAGGAATGAGGCGATAAAACGTGATTTTTCGGGAAACAAAGTTAAACCAGCCTGACTCAGGGCTTTAATTGGTGCATATACCACCATCTCACAATCTCATGCTAAGTCTACATTGTCTGGATAAAATATTATGGGTAAAAATCAAAATCCCTACGGCGATTATGAAAGGGATTTTTCCGGGACCAGACTGTTCAGCTCCACTGATCCAAATGTTTTTTAATGATCCATTCAGTTGTTCAGTGTTCTAGAAGTATTGATAAAACTAATGATAAACTAAGATAAAAGTATCGGGATGTAATTTATCGAGATTAACAATACCATATCATCGTATTGCCGACCCCTCTCTGTGTTTTTATAGCTATATCAGCACCGATTCCTCTTTCTGGCAGTGCGTTTAGACTCTGTTTTATTTGTACTTACATAAGGGTTCATTTTCCAAGTACAGAAAAAACACTTCTGTAAATTGCTCTAAAAAGAGTGTCTGCAAGTAGCATAAGTGTAAATGTAAGTGTGAGACTATAACACCTCCAAAGCCGATGAAACTTCCTGCGCAGTACTGCTCACTCTAAACCTGTTACAAACTACAGTAGTTCATAAATAACAATAAGTAATTATTTTATTGAGTATTTGCTTCAATGAGTTCACCTTTTTGAGAAATTTAAATGACATTAAACATAACATTTGAATAAATGTATGACAACTACAATACAGGGCAAAGGCAAGAGACCACCTTTCATTTATTTAATTTCCAGTCTAAACAGCCATAATATACACATTATTGCGTACTTATCAGTAGATGTTTCTGAGTTGATTAGATATAAAATACTCCACTGCATGAGGAAGGGGGAAATAAGTCAAATGAGTTTATTAAACTATACAAGAGAAAATGGGTCTCCTACCACCAGCAAGACCTGGTATACACTAAAACTGTCCCCATCAGATAAACAGCACTTAAAGCTTTCATTTTTGAGAGAGAGGAGAAAATCAAGATGCTTCAGATCTGAAAACATCCACAGGTGTTTCTGTCCATCCTTCCACTGTGAGAAGACGACTCAGCGCTATGGGTCTGAAAGGATGTGTAGCTGTCAAGAAGCCTCACTGAGAAAAGGAGACAGACAAGAAAAATTACACTAAACACTGAAACTAGATGTCTGAGGTGTTTTAATGGACTGATGAGTCTAAATTTGGAATTGAGATTACTCATGAGAATCATGAGAAGCAGAAAGTGCAACCAACTTCTAAGACTGCACTTTGGAGGTGTGGAACAATATTGCTGTAGATTTCTTAGAAAAGCTGAAAGTGAGTCCCTGGACCCTGTAATAAAGGTGAAGGGTGAATCCACTAAATACTGAAAAATGGTATTGCATTTAGTTGTTGAGACGTCTGTGTAAATTTTCAGTTAAATGCATATTTTCTGATTTTTTTCCCGAAGCTGAAACATGAGTCACTTGTTCTTAATGGCTGTTTCGACTGCACTTTTACAAAGATGGTTCTTCAAGGGTTCTGTGGAGAACCATGAGTTCTATATAAAACCATTTCATGCTTAATTCAAGCTTGACATTGTAACAATAGCAGAGCCCTTGTTGGTTCTACATAGAACCATATACAACACATTCGCCATCAGTCCTAATCATTTCACCATGCAAAGAACCATTTAAGCATGGAACGGTTTTATATAGAACTCATTAAATAGAAAACAGAACCATTAAATAGAACCATTGTCACTACTAAAGAACCTTTGAAAAAACATCTTTTTTAAGAGTTTGGAAATTAAATAAATTGTATATGTACAAAACTGTACAAAACTATACAAAACGTCATCACTTTAGACCATGGGTGCCCAACGTCTTTGTTTTGGGGAGCAAAAGTGTTTGTCGTGCCAAAAAGACAAAACAATATGCAAATAAATAAGATTTCAGATTGAGTTTTAAAGTGTTTTTTTTTCTAATAGTGTAAATGTTGTTGCTAAAATACTTAAAATATACCATTTTAAAAGGAAATTATGAATTTAACAAGTTGTTTATTGAGGAGGGGGTTACGGGGAACTTTCCAGCGGGCCAAATCAAACATCCTCATAGGCCAACCTTGGACGGCCCTGCTTTGAGCCAATCAGAACAAGTTCTTTGGCATTTTTAACTTATTTATACAAAATTGAATTTTTAAAGGTGAATGGGTTGAAACAGTTTTAACAATCTTTTAATCATTACTGAGCTTTTTAAGCCTGTGAGAAAAACAGGAGGAAATAAAAAACCCACTTTCATTTCTGAATCCACTTTGAAAACGGTCCCTCATATGTTTTCATATTCCACATCGCCATCTGCTCGCCTGGTGTCAGCGGCTGCACTTCGTGGTCTTTGTTCTCGTTTTGCTCTTTCGAACCTCTGCTCTATCAGCATGATCTCCTTGCGCAAGTGCGTGAACAGGAAGATCATCACAATATAGAAGACCCAGACTGAGAACAAGAAGTATCGAAACCACCCTTCAAAAGATACACAAATCATTATTGAGGAATCAAAAGTAGATAACATACATATAATATACATACAATCTATACACAATCTCATAAATGTGTCCTGCACCACTCGAGTACTAATCAGTCTAGATTAGGTTTTGTTATTTCTTTGGCGTGAGGTGAATTGCTCCTTATTAAAGCCCATATTATGAACAGGAAATTGTGCCACACTGAAAAGCAATCAATACAATGGAAAAACATGAAATGCAGTGCACACATGACATTATATTTCCATCATCATCTGCACAATACGTGCCAAAATCAAAACAAAATCTTTAGTACATTGTTTTCACATTGCTTGACCTCTGTACTGAAAAACAATACATGCAAATTTGCATTTAAAACAAGAAAAGCTGCATTGGTGTCAGAATTGAATACAATCTGCTGAAATGTAATGAAGGCCCAGCTATTGCTTTCCACCTTGCTGTACTTTAAACAACATTAAATCAAAGTGCTGGGTCTTTTAGCATGTTTTCTGCACGTTACTGTTTAAATGCAATCTCATTTGCACTGCAATTCACTGTTCTGGTTGAAGCAAATACATTTGAAATACAAAAAAGAAACATGAAAACAGTGTAGTGGAGGTTTTGCTTTTTATTTTGGCACATATTCCGCATGTCCCTACGGGAAAGTAATGTCATGTGTGCATTGCAATGTTTTCATTGTAGTGATTGCATTTCAGTGAGGCAAATCTGTTTAAAGTGCTGAACAGTGGAAAGCAATATAGTCTTGCCTTCTTTACATTTCAGGGCAAATTGTATTCAATTCTGATACAAATTTTAGATTTCATTTTTTTAAATGCAAATCCTCATGCACTGTTTTTCAGCAAAGTGAAAACATTATAATTGTGGTTTCGTTATTCATTTTGGTGCATATTCTGTGTGTCACTATGGGAAAGTAATGTATGCCTCACATTTCATGTGTTTTCACTGTATTGATTACTTTTTAATTTGGCACAAAGTCCTCTCTATACATATTATACATTTTTCTGCTCTTTTTTTGGTCTTTTAGATACACTCCAAACAATAAAGTGCGTTCATGTATCAGAAAGAGTCAAAATTCATTTTTACATGATGATTTTCAGCCTTTCTTTATTTTTTAAAGACGACTTTCACTTTTCAACATTTCTGCATGATCAAATGGTTAAAATGTAAATATTCAGAGGGATTTTATGTGCAATATTCTGGAGAAACTTGCTCAGAATTATTTGCAGTGGGGAACCTCACAGAAAGCTGTTAAACGCAATGGTTATGAACACACTGCCTTATGTTGTGAGGTCAAATTTTGGCCTTAAACAGATTTAAAAAGTGTTTAATTGAGAGCCACATGCAGGGCGTTGCCTGGCAGAAGAAAACTTTCCAAAGAAAAGTTTTTTTATTTAGCGCTATTTCACCATTATAAACATTGCATACAAACTCTCAGAAGATAGTGTAGGTTTACTGGTCGTTTTGTGTTGTAAGCATCGTTGCACTAATTTGCCATTTTATCAAACCACTCTGAATGACTTCACATTCACCCCAACAATCAAATTATGCAGAACATTTGATAGAACCATCCTTTAGGGCTGAAACACTCCTTATAACTTCACTGTGAGTGCGCCGGGCTAGACAGGCTAAGTAGATAGCTATGTGTAAATGTATAGATTTTTGTGACATCACAAAAGCAGTGAATTCAAAACAGGCTATTTCCACAGCTTAGTTTCCATATACGGACTCTATGGGCTGACTGTGAATGGTACATTTTGAAACCTTAATAATGTTTATATACCACATCAAACTCTTATATAAAAAATACAGGAGAATACAACGACTGCTCATAGACTTCTATTGTAAGGTCTAAAACTCAGTTTGCTCTTTAGGATATTTTCTTTCATTTTACTCACTATTGAACAGCATTTATGATTATTGAATAGCTCATTGATAAATAAATACAGCATTATATCAGCTCAGATATTCCAGTATAGGCTCTACTTTCATCTTTGTGATTTATTATATGATGTGTGGTTTGACTTACCGAAATACTCATCCATGTGCCCCTAAACAATCAGAAAATGAAAGCAATTAAACTGGTTATTAATGTTTTTACTCATTTTCAGTTAAGATTAGGATTATGTTTAACTCTTTTCTTGTAGAATAATATTGTACTTACAGTTTTCTTCAGCATAAAGTTGGAGGTCAGCAGCTCATGTTGGTATCATTTGTGCAGTTGTGTGCAGATTTCTGCACTCCACAAGAAACAAGGCACATGAATGAGGCGCCAACACTTCCTCTTTGCCTCACAAACATTCATAATGGTTTCATAGCTCTTCCTCGCAGCTTTCATGTTGCTGATGAAAGTCTGTGTAAAGGTGCTGGAGATCATGTTTGCCCTCTAAAAACCACTCCTACAAACCTCTCAACAAACTTTAACAGTGTTGATTGCTAATCGTAATATTTTAGCAAATGCGTGAGGCCCGTTGGTCAGACTGTGGCACTGCAGTTTAACTGTACACAGCAACACTGACCATATATATACTCCACATATGATAAAGTTGTTTGGATCTGTTCCTGCAAATGCAAATTAATTAAAGAAAGAAAAAAGCAGGAAAGAAAGAAAGAAAGAAAGAAAGAAAGAAAGTAAAAGAAAGAAAGAAAGAAAGACAGACAGACAGAAAGAAAGAAAAAAGGAAAGAAAGAAAAAAGGAAAAAAGAAAGAAAGAAAGAAAGAGAGCAAGAAATGCAGAAAAATCAAAGAAAGAATGAAAGAAAGAAACAAAGAAAGAAAGAAAAAAGAAGAAAAAAGAAAAAACAAAGAAAGAATGAAACATGCAAAAAAAGCAATAAAGCTAGAAGGAAGGAAGAAAGAAAGAAAGAAAGAAAGAAAGAAAGAAAGAAAGAAAGAAAATATAATGAAAGCAAACAAGAAAGAAAGAAAGAAAGAAAGAAAAAAATATAATGAAAGCAAACAAGAAAGAAAGAAAGAAAGAAAGACAGATAGAGTGAATGAAAGAAAGAAAGAAAGGAAGAAAGAAAGAAAGAAAGCATGAAAAACAGAAAAAAGAAAGAAACAAAGAAACAAAGAAAGATAAAAGAAAGAAACAAAGAAATTAATAAAGAAACAAAGAAACAAAGAAACAAAGAAAGAGAAAATAAAGAGACCAGCAGGTGGCATCCGCGCGCCTCGTTGCGCAACGTTTGATTTGTTTTCACACTCGTTTTCGGGCAAGCCCCGCCCCCTGCGCTACAATTGGCTAAGAGCTCACGTTCACGCGCACTCCGCCAATAAGAATGGACACAGCGAATCGTTGCGTAGGAGGCGGGGCTTGCCTGAACCAGGGTGTGAAAAAGTGCTTTTGTAACCAAAACGTCGGGGAAGCGGTGGACTGACTGTTTCATGAAAGTTTTTTGGGGTAAAGTTGGTTAAAAATAATGAGCAATATTGTTCATATTTGTAGTTTTTTTTAATTGTATGTAACGTTAACGTCGTTACGGCAGCGCGAGACTTAATCTAATTGAAGTGGTAATCACGGTCAGCTGCGAGTGTCAGGCTTTGGTTACCGCGCTGTGGCCTCAGCTGAGTAGGTGCGTATTTAACACCACTGGCTCTAAACTGTAACAGCAGTTGAGCTGTGTGGGAGAGAGACATATCTGAGACATGGGCGAGAAGAACGTGCTGCGTATTTTAGCCATTGTGCTCTTTGTGCTGGCTTACATCGCGACTTTGGCCATCAACGCTCTGGCGGGCTCTGGGAAAGGTAAGGCTCGTGGTAGAGTGGTCGACACTGTGGGTGGGTGTGTCTCCATCGGCGGTGCAGTGCGTACTTGCGCTCTCGTGCACTCCATCATCGTCTTTCAGCTCCCAGTTCAGTTCCAAATAGTTCATAGTACTGGGCGTGGTTAAAATACATGGGACTAGATGTGGCTTAAAGGGGAACTCCACCCATTTAAGAAGATTCTGCGTTATTACCAGACGTCCACCTCCAAAAGCTTCATTAGAGAAAGTCATTGGAATAGTTGGATATGTGCTGCCTGATATCTTATTATTATATTATTTTATGATAGTTTTTGATAAAGTTTTGGTTTAAAATATATTTTAATCCATTTATTTTAATCAGTTTATGGCGGAGGGGTACATGCAGGGCGTTATGAGGCAAAACAGTCCGCAAAGAAAACTTTTTTTCAAATTTCTGACTATTTTCCCATCATCAGTGTTGCATATAAAAACTCAGAAGACTCATGTAGGTTCACTTGTGGCTTTGGATAGTAAATAAAATGGCTGTATTTATGTTGTACCCACCACTTGTCGCCACCACTGTAGTAATCAGAGTCTCTACAAATGAATTTCACATCAGACCACTCTGGATGGCTTTGTTTATGTCTCAAAGACTTAATTATACAGAAATTTTGAAAAAATGGTGGAATTCCCCTTCAGCTACTGAGAACATCAACTCTATTCATTGAAAATATGTGGTCACATCTTTCTTCTTTTATATATCTTGTATATCGGAACTTACTAAAGATGGTCTGTATAAGACTTTTATTGTTAGAATTAAAAGAAATTGTATTAGACGAGGAAAAAAACATAGTAAAATCCGGTGTTTATCACCTGTGATGCCTGAAGTAGTAATTTAAAAGTCAGAGAAGTCAAGTGGAATTTCACGGGAGTTTCTCAGACCACATTGTATGTTCTTACATATTAATATTGCACGCACAGCCTCAAAAAGGAAGGTCTGGCCCGGTGATTATGCAAAAATAACATCGCCTACTTTGGCCTGTGCTTGTGGTCTTTGTCCCCCTCTTGCCTGTGTTTGCTGTAAACCGTGTCCACATGTCCACGCAAACCTTGTGACATGGCAGAGCAGCCTCCAGATCCATTGTACCTCTGCACACCCAGCAGCAAAAATAAACATTTCAAAATAAAAGTAAATATTTTGTGTATTTTTAGGCTAATCAAAACCATGTGAACTCGCAACCAAACAATACGCGTCGCATCACATGCCGTCATTGTTGACAGACAAGCAAGCAGCTCACAGCAAAACAAAAAAGAGCAGTGTAGCAGCTTAACTCGGCTAATAACATTTATTATTTTATTTTCTCTACATTATTAGCTAATAACTCTCTGAAGACATCTACAGATCAGCTGAAATTAATTTAAAGCCGAAACAGAGGCTGAGACCGCAGCACAGGTTAAAAAGTCAAAAGAATTGGGGGAAAAAATATCTTTTTAATTTTCTGCATAATTATTTACTGCATGTTCTTTCTTTGTTTTCCTGCAAGTGATTACTAAAGTGCTTTTTTACTGCAGCCCACTTGAAGCTCATTTATTGCTTGCCTGCTTGATTCTATAAGCAGCCAATAATTGTCCAAGCCCTGCCCCACGCTGCCAGCCACCCTAACACCCATGAGCCCAAAATATGTTGGCTGCAATGCCTCAAAATGAAACCGCCCACAAATTATTTAGCAGATCACGTGGGACCCACGTGATCTGCCTAGTGCAGACCTCTAGATGACAGATAATTCACTCACATCTTCAGAAGACACAGACTTCACCAGGTTTTGACTGAGTTCTCTTTGAATTCTCTTTCAATGCATTCACAATCATCAGATTCATCCACTCAGGAAAGGGGTCCAAAGCACAACCGACATTCTTCTGCAGTTTTCACCAGAGAGGTCTACAAATCCCCAAACCTGCATAGCATATCTTTAAAAAAACGTATGTTTTAGATAGGATAGTGACACACCAAAGAGAAAGTGTGAACAGCAAAAATTTTAAAATTTGAAATCCCAATTTGAAGCATTAACACTTTACTAGGCTTTGAGCAGACACCTACATTGGCCTGTGTTCACAAAGCTTCTCAGAGAAGAAGGACTGATCTAGGACCTGTTGCTGTCACTAGTAAATAAGAGAGGAATCTGGTCGTAGGTCAGCAATCCTTCTCTGAGAAGCTCTGTGAATATGGGCAATTGTTTCTATTGCAACAGCAGCATATATATGCAAAAATAAAGTCACTCCCTGAACACGTAGATTCAGTTTGCAGACAGTCAGTCCCACTGATCAGATCTAAAAAACAAATCTGAATGTGAATATGGGTCTATTAAATGCTGTTAATTGTTTTGTGGTCTTTCAGGTCCATTTTTGCGAAGTACAGGCAATGTTTCTGCGCTGTATGATACGGAGATCACTCCCGCTGGATGGACCTTCTCCATCTGGGGATTCCTCTACACCTGGCTTCTCCTTATGAACATATACATTCTCACCTGGCTCTGTAGACGGTACTTTCAAATGTTTCTCCTACAGATAAGTGCAACTTAATAAACACATTTATTGCCAGTGATTAATGTTGCCTGTTGGAATGTTTTTCTCCAGTCTTTATTTTGCTGGCAGTTGAATTATTACATAACAAATTGCTGACAGAATTGATGCTCTGTTCCAGTAGTCATGTGTCCTGCACCTGGAGGATTACTTCTAACTTGTTTTTAAGCATGCACCGGCCAATAAGGGACAGTCTGGGACAGGGCTACACTCAGTCAAAATGTTCTTGTAAAAGGCCAAACATTTTAAATCCAGTGTGCTGCTGAAGTACAGAGACAAAATAACAAAAATTGGGTCATTGTCCAGTTACCTACAGACTGCACTTTACAATGCATGGGCTTATATCTGAAATAGGTGAATATTATTGCTATATTTTATTAAGGACTTCAACTGGATGGATGTACTGTAGTCCTGCACTTCTTCCTTATGGGTTTTTCCTCTCCTGGGTGGTTAACATGGTTCTAAACAGCACCTGGCTCATCCTGTGGGACCGAGAGTAGGTACCAGTCTGTGTGAACTTGTCATAATGCTAACATATTTTTAATGAGATTAATATGTGATATTTGAGCTCCAGTTGACCTACAGAAGTTCTTCTCCTAACAGTATACAAGATTTAAAGGAATACTTAATAAAAAAGCTGGAGCTGGTCATGAATGAAAATGTGTAAAGGCCAGCGAATATGCTAACTAGTCCTTCTTACTAGTGTTCATTCACTATTAGCCACGTTAGTATATTAATAAAGTATTCCTATAAAAGCCAGTCTGGCAAAAACTATTGCCAAAAGAAAATCTACACAGTTTTTTCCTTGCTCCAAATGTAGACAGTCAGCTAAGACTTGTTTAGTGTCTGAGGTTTGCTTTTTTAGTTTTGCAGTGGCGTTACAAGGCTAACGTTGCTAACAAGTGATGGCGGTAATGGTGCTAATTTGCTAAATCATCAGCACTGGCCTGAAACCATGTTGAGTAGTTAAGTTGTCTCAAATTGCTTAAGTGGTTTCATTGCGTATGATATTCTGTTATATGAAAATTGGACAAAGGTACAGATAAAATTCAGGCTTTAGCATGACTGCTACTGTGTTTAGCTACGTCAGGCTGCGTTTGACAAAGCCATAACTTGGATTTTTCCACCTCTGACTAAGAAAAATGATTCCTCACACACAGTACTTGGTTGAATCTATAACTTTGACCACAAATTTTGCTGTTTTTAAGTAGGTAAATGTGTCATGGATGTCAAAGTTATCACTCATATCACTAATGGTAGCTGCCTAGCGTGTTGCTAACAATACTCTCTTTAATGGAGGCGTCCACATTTTTCCTTATTTGCAGCTCGAGTGTGCTGAGCTCAAAATGATGCAGGTTAAAGCCCCAACTTTTCACTTCTGAGCCAAGTTGAATGCAGCAATAGTTTTGTCCATTTTTCCGGTTTCTCGTTTCTGATTATTAGGGTATATTCCTGCATTCAACCAAATCGCATAACATGGAATTTTCGACCTATGGAAAAAAAACAAAGAAAATCCCCTAAAAAAGGCCCGCAAGTGGAAATTCCTGCTCAGAAAGTCAGAAAGGTGTCTTCAACCCCAAGTTCAGCATATAACCTCACATCAACATTGGTGCTCACACTGTCCACTGTAAAAAGTATCACTTCTCTACTTTTAACACTGCTAGAAGCAGACAAATCTTGTTTAAAGTAGTCGAACATATAAAAAAAGACCAAAAGATTTTCCTTCTGCCTTTTTTTTAAGGTCTTCATTTGTGTGGACTGTATAGCTGTTCATGAGCTTTTGGTGCTGGCAAGTTTTAATGGAGGTATCTGAGTTTTTTTTCCCTGCAATAATGTAATTTCAAGCTCAGACTTAAAGTCGGATGCAGCATAAGCTTCTATAACTTCTTAGCTACATTAGCCTTGTATCTCCAGTGCAAAACTAAAGAAGCAAACTTTAGACACCAAATATGTCTTGGCCGATTTACCATGTTCAGGGTGAGACGTTTCTGGCTGTTGCATTAAGTTATTAAGATCTGCTCTTATATGTTGTATTTTTCCCTCCTCTGCAGGTTAATGATCCCAGCGCTAATAGTGCTGGCTCTGATTGCCTTCACCAACTACCTCATGATCTTCTTCTCCTGTGTTGGCCTAAAAGCTCATGGAGCCTGGCTCAAATACAACCACCCTGTTGACCTCTGGTGCATCCGTGTGCTGGTGTGTACTTACAGCAGCCTACTTCCTGCTGAATCCAGCTAGCTTACAAGCAAATGTGTTGGAAATGACAAACGCCTCCTGTTTGAATTGCTTCAAGTCATGCCAAACAAAATGTTTGACAAGCTTTATTTTTGGCTTTAGAAGGTTGTGCTGTGTGCGAACAGATGATACAATGATTGTTTTGGCTAGGCAACTTTGTGAGCTGTGCGAACTGCTGGTGCATGTGTGTATTTCAGGTTCAGAATGCCATTGCTGCCTATGCAACATGGACAACAATAGCCACGCTCCTCAACTTTGCTGTTGTGTTGGGTATTGCATCAGTGTCCACAACAAATGCTGCCACTGTTGCTCTGTGTGGTCTGCTTTTGGAAGTGATTGTATGGTAGGTAGAGATGGTACAATACCACTTTTTCTTTTCTGATATCGATGCTGAAACCTGAGAATCAGCTGATACTGATATCGATCCAATTTTGTTCCCTTTAGCTTTAGAATGAGCTGTGTTTTGTTCTGAGGCACTTCACTTAAGTAGACCTATTTGGACTGGATTTAGTCCGTAGTTAGTAAATTTTTACACATCTTCTTAGTGATAAAACTGTTGCAACCGGACAAAGTTTCTAGTGGGTTGTAACACTCAGTTGCCAATCGAGGGCAAACTCACCACAGTTTACTGTACTTTTTGTCAAAAAAAAACTCTAATTTTTTTCAGTTTTCATTTTTAAACACCATTTGAGCATGGCAGCTGCACTTTATGTAATGTAAAAGAATTCTTGATGAATGGACTAATAGAAATACTCCAAAATGGCTTGGAATACAACCTCTTTACATTAACGGACATAGTTGGAAAGACTTTAGCCTTTTCTTGTAAAGCTGTCATTTTAGAGATACTTGTTTTTCTTTGAAAAAAACAAGTGTTCCTGTAATGAGATGCAACAAATACCTGAATAGTGATTTTATTATTTAAATACTGGCACCTTCAGCAGTACTCAAGGACCCCAGCACATCCCTAGTGAATATGTGCACCAGCAGCTGTTAAAAACCTTTCCAGCATGAGGCGACATCTGCTTGGAAAATCATGAAGATAATGGTCAGAGCATGATCAGAGGAAAATTATGAGGGCATCACTGAGTTTGGTGAACGACAGACAATATAAGTTGGCTTGGAATTTTCTCAGGGGAGGGGAGAGGGAAAATAGCTGATCAAGACAGAAGCAAATTCACTGAGTAGCACCTGTAGAAGAGGTGCTACTCAGTAGTCCAGGACTCTACATGACGAAATACATCAAAACTAAAAAATAAATGTTACTTAAAGTGCAAGTGTGTGTAAAATTACACTATTTAAAATAAAGGAATTGATTTACCAAATGATGTATGTTAACATTGGGATTGTTATCAAGATAACGTACTGTACTGTGATTTACATTATATTGCAGCACAAGCAAATCTTTGAATTTTCAAGCCAGATTTCTTTCAGAAGTAGGTCATATTATTTAATTAATTCCTCTGATATCCAACACAGTGTTTTCTCATAGTATAATCTAATATCAGTCCTGGGTATCAAACTGACATTTGCATACTGTTTTATGTCTTTTTTGACTGTATAGAGATTTATAGAGTTTAATGAGTCTGATTTTTAAAAGAATGGTTAAAAAAACAAAACAATTTTTAACCCGTTTGGTATCTGTTTGTATCTTTATTTATACTGGAGCTTTTTAAGTAAACCATTTCTTTAAGGTGCCACCGTGATTTGATTTCACTGATTCGATGTAATATTTTGTGTGTACAGGTTTGCTGTTGAGAACTTTGTGATAGAGAAACATGTGCGCTACATTCTGACTGTCTACCCCGTCGTCATCTACGCTCTCATTGGAAGCTTGAGCAGGCACTATGATGCAGCAGCTCCAGGCAGGAATGCTGTCTTTACAGGTGAGTTTAAGGCAAACTGTAGTTACTTTACTGTTTGAGGAACAGGCCAACAACCTGGACCTGCCACACACCACCACTAGGTGGAGTAAGAAGGATAAGGCAAGGATCAGTCATGCCATTGGAAACAGAAGAATGGCTTTCAAACTCAACCCTTAGCCAAAAACAAAAATGTTGCATTTTATATTATTTATTTCACACTCGTAGCTCAACATGTGGAAGGTTTCTGTTCAAACCGTGTTTGTGTTCGTAAGCAGAGTTGATGTTTTATTACTATTTGCATCTGATGAAGTTATTTGTACACAGTTGTGTGCAAAAGTTTGTTCAAATGATATGTTTTGTAACACATCCTCTACAGAGAACACCCTTCTGCATAGTTAATGCACAATTACTGTTTGTTTGTTGAATTTGACATATTAAATCATATATGTATATATATCTGTCATCGGAAGAAAACCTTGTATCTCCAAATTGATAACTTTACAGGAAAAGGAAAAAACCTACATTACTTTTAATGTAAGTCAGTGGAACCAGATGTTTTTCCAAGTCATTTTGGGTCATTTCTTTTGGTTTATTCATCATGAAATTTATATACAATGTAAAGGACTACAGATATTTTCAAATTTACAATTTGTAATATTTACAAAAACTAAAAATATGTGTGTATTTTATGTTCAGCTCAGCAAATAAATTGTACATATTTAAGTGTTTTCTGTAGATGACATTTTAACTTATTACTTGGAATATCAACAACATATGTAATTTGAACAGTATTCAAAGTTTTAAAAATGATCTTGTTTTCCATATATATATATATATATAATATATATAGCATAATTAGTCAGTATAATTACTTTCATTTTATTGTGTAATATAAATTCCATGCATAGCAAAAAACCTGTCACAGCTCTAGACTACTATGGATTAAATACTGAGCTTAGATTTTAAGAAACAAACAAATAAACCTACAGAAGGAGCTCTGCTGATGCTGCCCTCCAGGCTGTAGCAGGACCAGGTCAGTTGGGGTCAGGCCAGGGTGACACTAGTCAATAACCTCATACTGGGTTAATTAAGGGTTGCTCTACTCCACCCCTCCCTTCTACTTTGTTTTCACTTTATCATAGTGCAACTCATAACATCCTATGCATACTGTCTGTGTGTGGTTTGTCCACAGCTGTTCTCCTGGTGCTGGCCTGCGTTTTGTTTGTGGTGCGAGTGCTGCTGGTGATCTGGAGGCATCGTACACAGCCTCTGTTCCAGGAAACGACAGCTGAGGGGCTGATGACACCTGTAAGCACCGCAGACAAGTAGCGGCACAGGTTTTACATTACTTTAGAGATGAAGCACCACACGCCAAAGCGTGGATCACGTTATGTTTTTTCATAGGTGGACCGAGACATCAGCACCCCACCACACAGCAACAAAGCAGAATTGGTTATTGTCTCATGGTGCTTCATTCTTGTCATAGCAGTAGCTTACATTGCTATTAATACTACATACACACAGAGCATTTAATCCTTCACTGATTCCAGAAAGCTGTTAAAAATCAGTGCAGAGTTCATTTAGTCATAAAAAAGCAGAGGTCAAATGAAGTTTAATTTTGTTTTTTTTATTGCACTGATTGTAATACAACTAGACACAATAGGTATGTATGTGTCTATTATCATGTGACAAAATGGCTAACATAATAAATTTATACCAAGAATATATAATACTGTGCAAAAAGGCCTTTAAGTATAAGTTATTTATTTTTTGCTGTCAGGAGAAAAAGCAGAAAACATGTATTTAACAGAAACAATTAATAACTAAATTTAAAAAAAAATCTGATTTCTCAGTGTTTAGTGTGTCCACTCTTTACCTTTATTGCAGCTTCAGACTTGCTTTTAGTGTTTCAGAGAAATATGCAGGGATATTTTTCACACTTCCAAAGTTCAGTCTTAGAAGTTAGTTGCATTTGGGCTCTGGTGTGATCAGTCTGTTGTTCTGAGAACACCAGCAGATGCTTTGTTTGATTTGCAAATATTCTTTTTTGGTCTGTTTGCTTTTCTCAGTAATGCCTTCTTGAGAGCTACACATCCATGATAAATTGATTTTCTCAAAGATGAAAGCTTTAAGTGCTGTTTATCTGATCTACCAGATCTTACACAGTTGTTAGGATTCTCTTTGAATGATTTTTTTGAACTCCAGTTTTGGAAACTCCTGTTTTTTGGGTTTTTTTTTTCCCAATTATTTTAACTTTTAACTAGTGGATTATTTTCTGATCTCCTCAGAGGGGCGGCACGGTGGCGCAGTGGGTAGCGCTGTCGCCTCACAGCAAGAAGGGCCTGGGTTTGATTCCCAGGGCCCTTTCTGTGTGGAGTTTGCCTGTTCTCCCCGTGTCTGCGTGGGTTTCCTCCGGGCGCTCCGGTGTCCTCCCACAGTCCAAAGACATGCAGTCTGTCCTATTGGACACTATACATTTCCCCTAGGTGTGAGTGTGTGTGTGTGTGTGCATGTATGGACTGCGACGTACTGGTGACCTGTCCAGGGTGTATCCTGCCTTCTGCCCAATGACTGCTGGGGTAGGCTTCAGCTGCCCCTGCGACCCTGAAGGATAAGCAGCTTAGAAGGGGTGTGTGTGTGTGTGTGTGTCTGTGTGTGTAAACAACTTAATTGCTGTTACAGAGGCCTCTGACTTTTGCACAGTACTGTATGTCTGAATTTTCTATGTGAACAATATATGCACTCTTTTATATATATAAAAAAACACTGTTCTGTGGTCAATGAGACTTTGACTATTCAGTTAATGCCATTGAGAAGTCCCTGAAAAGGTGGCCACACAGGACTGCATGCTTTTATATGTGGAATAACCATATCAGCCTTACACTATGTTGATAACCTGTCAAGATTCATTCAAAGAAAATGTTTGAGTTGCCAGATTTTCTGCATTTTTGCTCCTTTTCCCATGCTAAATTTCTTCGCTTAGTTTTGTTGCTCACTGTGGTTAGAAGAACAGAGTTTAGAATTGTTTTGTAGCCGTGTTATTTGTTTGTGGAGAAAGACATTTAAACATGGATTAGGCAAGTGCTCCCTTGGTGGTAGAATCAATAAACAAATAATTATGGTCAGCTGTCAGAAAACTTTTGGGAAAAAACATATTTTCCAACCAGGCACCCTAAATAAACCCTGGCTCATCAGGAACTGATTTAAGAGTTGCATCCTATTGATTTGTTGATTCCACTTGAATTTTTTTTTATTTACAGGAACTGTAGATGGGTTATGTTGCAAAGATGGTAATAGGTGGGGGCATAAAGACTCATGAAGGTGGTGACTGAAAGCTACATTGATTTTGGAATATTCGACTCGATTACAATAAAATATTCACATAAAAAATTAACTTATTTCTTTGGGCCAAAAGTCTTCCAGGCAAATTTGTTTATTCAGTGTATAACAAAATCAATTGTGTTATTTGATATAATATTTTGCTAAACAGTCATAAGCAAAATGAAGGGAGGTGAGAGATTTGCACCCCTATTAAAAGGCCTTAAACCCAATACATATGCATGGACTTACGAGAAATCCCTCCTCAAAGGATCACTTATGTCACATTCTTGGAACAGCTGTGTGCAGAAGAGTTGGTGAGAATTTTTCCACAGTATTGTTAGACAGATGACAGAGCACAGGAAGTGGATGGCGGCTGCTAAAAGTGGGTTTTATAGGTTTTAAGCCAATGAAGCAATTTTCTTTTTCTTTTTTTTTAGCACATTAATTAAAGAATTCACTGAAATCCATGTAAAAATGCAGAAATGTGAATAATTCAAACATTTTATAACTTGTAATAGAGCAGCATGACTGACATACTTTATATTTAATGGCCTTTTCATCAGTTGACACTCGAACTGAGGGTTGCATAGCAAGATTATCACAGTTAAACAGGTGTTCATATTGTATGCATATGCTGAGCCAGGTTGGTTTACCTAGTCTAATATTCCAGTTCAGTAGGTTCATTTATACATAAACTAATAACGTCTTATTTGTATCAAAGAAATGGTTCAGTGAAAAAATCTAATTTACACAATTTCGCCATATATTGTCGATCAGCCAAGGCATGTTTGGGATCCAAATTGTCCTTCTTTGGTTTTAAACTAGAGCTACGAGGCTAATGAAGCTAACAAACACTAGAAGCCAATAGCCAGCTGAATATTTTCCGTAAACACATCTTCAAAAGTTTGCTCAACCGGCTAAAAACACATCCAGTTTTTCATTAAGGTCGCACAGACTTGTTGATGTGGTTTAGGACGCAGTACAACTTACTTCACCCTGTAGCTGAATGCAGTTGGCACTCAATTAAATGGTGGGAATTCCACCATTTTTTTTTAATTTCTGAATAATTCAGTCTTTATGAGTCATTCAGAGTGGTTTGATGTGAAGTGGTTCATTCTAGAGAAACTTACAGGCTCATTTTACAGTCATTTTATTTACTGTGCAAAACCATCAGTGAACCTACTTGTGTTATCTGAGTTTTCATATGTAATGTTGATGATGGTAAAATAGTCAGTAATCTGAAAAAATAAGTTTTCTTTGTGGGCTATTTTGCCTTAGAACACCCTTCATGTACTCCTCTGCCACTAATAGATTCAAATAAATAGATTTAAATACACTTTATGACAAAACTATCATAAAACAATGTGTCAGACATCAGGCAGCATAAATTTAGCTATTTAATGTAATCATTTTCTGTGAGGGAACTTTTAGGGGCAATAAAGTCTTAAGACGTCTGGCTCCTAAAACCACCACTGTGAACAATTCTGACTCTGCAAGTTTCTCCAGAATGGAGTGTTTCATACCAAACCACTCTGAATGACTTTGTTTACATCTGAACCGATTCTAATTATGTAGAATTATTGAAAAATCTTTGGAGTTCCCTTTAAGACAACGGTTTTAGAATCTGGCTCCCTTTCACATACATGGCCACCACAGGGACATGTGGGCCCTAGATTAGACTTGTGATTTCTGTTGTTTCTAATTTTAAAAAAGTCTAGATTAACAGTCATCTCTGTTTCTTTATATAAATTGCAAGTTTTGTTAATGTTTATAGTTCACAGTTTGTCATACTGTGTCCTATATCACATCAACACGTATTCACAATCTTAATGACTTAAGACTTAGATGCAGTTTAAGCGGTACTGAGAGAAGTATTTACAGAAAAGATTTGGGCGACTATTGACTTCTAGTGTTTTTAGCCTCATAGCTCTAGCGCTAAACTAAAAAAAGGAAAAATTTTAGACAACAGATTTGGACAAATACGTCTGAGGTAAGTGAAATATTGTGTAAATGTGATTTTCTGCCAATGTATGTCTGCATTTATAGTTGTATTTCATACTACAAACTGCAGTATTAGAATGTGTATATGTTTACAATGATTATCACATGCATTTAGCTTAAATATAGCCAACTGCACTATTTTGTATGTGTATTACCTCTCTTTTTTCTATGAATGTTAATGATACTAATGACTTCATAAACTTTTAATAAAACGACTACAATGGATGGCATATATGCTGTGTGCAATTTCTCTTTTAATAAGATGATTCACCCAGAGGTTTGATATATAAAGGGCACTGAGGTACAAAGAAAGAGAGAGTGTGATGGAGAGAGCTTCCCACAGAGTTAATCTCATGTTTTGCTCTTTGCGTATGAATCACTGCCTTCAGTGTTGCACTCTTGCATATCATGGAAGATCAGTGAGCTGGTTGCAGAGACAAACATGTCGAGAAGCAATTTGTCTTGGTTCAGAATGAGTGACAGGAAATTCACCTCCGTCTAATCTCTACGCTCGGTTACCACAAAATCACCATGTTTTCAAATTAGGCTCTTTGATCAGTTCTCTTTTATTTTTACATGGCGGTTAAGTGAGGCGTCTTGTCATGTACATTGTAATCCTCATGAATGTGTTGGTGTGACTGGCTCTGCTCTGTGTGTGTTGGCTCACTGTTGACAAGAGACTCCCTGCACCGCACAACAGTGAGCGGAAAATAGTCTGGTGGAAAATAACATTATCATGGGTTTCCCCTCACTCCAAATATAGCCAAGACACTGGAGCACAAAGCTAAGCTAACTAACTTGTAGTGGGCAATATAGCGGTTCATCTGATATTACTGTCATACTGGTATGCAAACAAGTGCAGATAACGTGATGTACAAACATGCTGATGTACAAACCCCTCAGATTGAGTTAATGAGTTAACAAGAGTGGAAGGAGAAGCCAGTCTCTTGGGGTTAACTGTTAGCCATTAGCCTAGCATTATGACTAGCTGGCTTTCCATGTGCACCATCTATGGCGCCTCACCCTCAACTAGCTGCTCCAGGCGATGCCGTGGTCTCGGCCTACAAGCCCAGAGGCTCCACGTCAGTTAAAACTGGTAGCGTCAACGGCTGCAATACCTGCTAAATTCCAGGAGTGTCTCACGGCCGTAGATTAAAGCTCAAGTGTGAGACAAATTACTTTTAGACGTAAAACAACATTTAGCACCATTTTTGCCAGGCTTGGAGAAGCTGCTGTGGGCTCACTTTTGTCTTGTTAGGGTTAGAAAACACTGATACTGATACTGTCTATATATTGTTGATTTCTCTTTTTACTATTTAGCCCAATAAAAATATTTTCTTCAGTTGTTAAATATGGTTCTTATTAAAAGTGAAGGGACATCCAGAATAATACGCCATTGTTAATCCACAAAATGTTTACTTAAGCATCCAAAATGGTTTTGTTTGGGGAAAAAATACACAAACTTTACAGTGATGTATACAACAAC